CTCCTTTCGGTTTTCCTTCAAAGGGGGCCATGGTCTGTTTGTTGCAGCCAATTTTGCAACTCCTGCGACCGTGGCCTGAGGTACCTCCTGGGCATCGTGGTCATCCTTGTTCTGGGCGTTGCCTCGTGCCCTTTGGTTGGGTCCATGGGGTCCTATCCACCTGAACACTACCCATCCAAAGCGGATGCTTCCTTTGGTCTGCAAAAAAAGGGCCGTTTGCTGTGAGCAGTGAACTTCACTTTCTTAGTCTGGGGAAGGATGGGTGTCCAGCCCTGGATCAGGATAAAACTTGCCCAGTGCTTTTGGTACCACTATAGTAGGTAAGCATGCTTTTCAATCAGGTTGAACATGCTGTTTCCTTCGACCGTGGTTTTTCACAGACTTATTACTAGGAGCCTGGTAGGTCGCAGGAGTCCCAACCTGTTTAAACCGAATGCCTTTTGGTTGGTGCTTGAAGGGAAACCAAGGAAAGCTCTCAGACTGCCAGGCCCCAAGGGCGGCCCGAGGTACTTCCAACTGGGCTTGGACAAGGTGAACTCTGTGAAGCCCGGCGATGTAAGCGACAAGGACCCGACAATTCGTTGTCCTTTGCAGACAACCGACGGAACATTGGTCTGTGTCAAAATAGGGGGACCCCCTAGATGGGTGGTTTTCCTTTGGCTTCCCTTTAAACTGACCCCAAACAAGGTCGCCAGGGCTCTCGCTTGGGGATCCGTATTTCTTTGCAGATTCCATGATGCGGTCCATGTCCTTTGGATTTTGCCATCTGCAACATCCTTTGAGGATCTCGGAATTTGATTGTACCTGCCCGTTCTCAACCCAGCAAGTACTGAGCACATCAAGAAATCACACTCACACTTAATTACCGCCTGCTTCGGATATGAACTCCGAGTTGAACATCAAGAGGTTGGGATGAAGTCGATCCATTCTTCGTCGCTCTCGGCTCAGCCGCGTCCAAAAGCGCGCCTCTTTGAGCGGAGCGGCGCGGTGCCGTCTCCAGGCGCTGAACATCCCACCAACCTCAGTCTTTGGGCGAGTCATCACCCCATGGTGGGGGTTGTGATGGCGACTGTGTCAAGTGAAAGTGCCCCAAATGCTTAGTTTTGGGATGGTTGGAGCTGTACGTTCCAGCCTGGCAATTTTTATTGTGGGCATCGCAACAGGCCTCTTTGTGACTGCCAGGAAGAGGTGTTTGGTGGTGGTGGTGGTGGTGGTGGTGGTGGTGGTGGTGGTGGTGGTGGTGTAAAACAAAACGACTCCGTACTGAAATGGATTCCTCTTGAAGGTACCCTGATTTCAATTGGTTCACAAGACTTTTCCTCTTTTGCGAGTTGCTACCCTGTCAAACCTGGTCTAGCAATAATCATGTGAATGGACCGTTATATGCTATAAGTGTACCCTTTGCAAGCCGGCACCCGTTAACATCACTCACCGTTTATTTGGCATCCGAATTCTTTAGCTCTGACTCTGAGAAGCCACCAACATGCGTGGCCCACCGAAAGGAATCCTGGGGTTGAGGTTTCTGATCACCCCAGCGGTGGAATATCCTCAGCTAAATCCCCTAGGACTACATCTAGGGCAAGTGATAGCCACCCCCGAGGCACACAAATTGAGCGGGACAGGGCTCCCTCAAAGCCTATAGTTACTTGGTGGGTCATCACTTTGCCGTTTTTTGGGGGATGTTGCACTGGCCGTTTCCATTACATACCTGACTGCCATGGCGTCCGTCTTGACCCAGGCGCCATGGCGTCCCAGGAGAAGGAGGGACAAAGCCGGCTGAAGAAGCTCCAGAAGGCACAAGGATGGAGGGGCGGGGGGTGGGGGGGGGGGAATGTCCGTGTTTGCAGGGCAACCCCAAAGCTGTTGGGTTGGTTTCAAAGGGAAACCAAAACCACCCAGTTTGGGGGTACCATTTTTTTGGACACATCCACACAGGTCCCATTGGAAAGCCCAACCCCTGCATTTGGCTTGGCACCTGTGACTTGTTTAGGTGGGTTTAAGTGGAATCCGCAAGTTTCTACCAGTATCAGGCTTTGTTGCATACCCAATTTGGGTATCCGTTTTTGGATGTTGAAGGTTCCACCTACGAGACAGCACCGCGCACAAAGGCTGCAACCCCAACGCCTTGTTGGGTCACTCGGCCAGGATCACTTACTAGGGGCTTTCCCGCATGGCATACATTCCTACCGATTTGGTGGCAGGTCATCAAGGATGCCTTCGCCTGCTTCGACCAGCAGCAGCGGCTCGGACCCAGTGAAGAGTCGACTGCTTGAAATTATTTCTGGGCCATGGCCCAGTTGCTGAAGTTGACAGAAAAAAGCGCGAAAGGGTTGAAAGGGGAGGCCTTTGGGCTTGTTTCTTTGCGAGATCTTGAGGCTTTGAATTCGCGGTGGTGAAGATTCATGGTCGGGGAGGAATTCCCCGGGCGGACCTTTAAATCAAGTTGCAACTTTTGATCGGGGGAAATCGAGGTTCAACCAACTGCCTGTCTCCGTCTTGTGGTGCTTCTTTCATTGAAACACAGCTTCACCACACGCATCAACACATAAACAATCGACAGCAAACAAAAGCTAGAAAGGACAAGAGGGAAGGTCCAAACTCCAAAATCTGCCCGAAAGGCAATCATTTGGGAAATCTTGGTTGGGGGAGGTAGAAAGCCACGGAGACTGTAGGAGGCAGCCGCCCATCTTTGAACGATTGAACATGAGCTCGGCCTTTTGCAAAGGAAATATCGACTGTTTTGGCGAAGTGCTGCATTTAATGCAGGAGCGCCGTCCAATCGACGGTCGTTGCATGTTTCTAGAATAACGGTCGTTTGAAACTGAGAAAGACCTTTCGCAGTGCTTTGAGAAACGAGTTTGGGATGGGAGGTTTGTTTGAGGATGACTTTGGGGTTATGTTTGGGGCGCTTGCGGGGGTGTCCTTGGATATGCTTTGGAGAAGCTTTTGGGCATGTGTGGAGGAATGTTTTTTGTGTGGATTGTAGTTGGTTGCGTAGGGTGCCTTTCTAGTCATGTCGTTCGGGAAGTCTTTAGGAATACCTTTGATGATTCGGGTTGTGGCCTCTATCAGCCTCTTGTTTGGGGTTTGCTTGGGCCTCACACGTGCACAATGAAGGAGAAGGTGAAGAAAAGCCAAGTTGGCAGGATGTCTTTGGATTAGGGCCAAAATCGTCTGATAGGCAGACTTACAGTTCACAGTGTTCACTGGTTTCTTGGGACCCCCTGATCTACAATTACAATAATTGCAATTGCTTAAGGAAATGAGCTGTGCTCAAGACTTGTAAATGTTGGCATTGACCCAAGCCGGGGACGTTTGCATCTGCGTCGTTTAAGATGTTCTGGAATCAAAGGCAGCAACATGCTCAATATTCCAAAGGCCGAGTTCACCCCATTCTAACCTATTTCCTAGTTATCTTGGTTTATTGGGATTTATTGTTGTGCAAGTTCCTAGGGTGTACTCCCAGGGTGTACTAGAATGTTCCACGTAAGGCATTTTGACCATGTGATCCGCCAAGGCGTCAAAGTGACCTCGAACAAGCTGGTGACTGTTGTTTGGTTTGGGGACGTGTGTGTGTGTGTGTCAGAAGACGGGGGACCCCAAAATTGTGTATTCCTAGTGTTGGTTCAGTGTTTGTTCTTCGTACCCTCCAAAACACACTCAGCTTGCCCAGGAAGTGGCAGATTGAGCCAGACGAGGCACGCGTGTTTTTGTTGGCTGCGGGATAGCGGATAGCGAGCGCAAGTGAGGTGCGTTGGATCAGAGTGTGCAAGGTTCAAGTGTACTGGTGGCAAATTGGTGGACCACAACAAAATGGGTGGTTTCCTCTTGATATTTTTTTAAACCACCAACTTAAAGGGGTATCCTCAAGAAAAGCAGACCCCAGTTGACATACTGACTTGTTCTCACGTTTCCGGATGTGACCTTTTGGTTCATGAAGAAAAAGCTCTGGACTATTGCTTCCACGGGCAGGCAAATTTCTTTGGCTTTCCAGAATACAGTTTGGATGCTGAATCTGGGGGTTCCCCACACGGAAGGTGTTTGACCCCATCAGCAACCAGTGGTTCAGATAGATTTGGGTGTGGATTTGAATCCCTGGTTCCTCCTGATTTACCCAAGTCCAGCACACCGGGACGTCAAACGACTGAGGGCAGGGATGTTGGGAGGTCGAAGAATGGAACGATGTTGCCGTTTGATGGACATACATACACCTCCAGTTTGTTTTAAAAAGAAAGCCAGCTCCGATGTTGCGAGAACTCTAGGAGTCAGAGTTCACAAGGTTACAAGCGCAATCTTTTGTTGCAGACAGGACTCAAACAAAAAGACACACGACTCTTGGTTTTTGTGTTTGAAACCAGGAATCATGTGAGAATTCCCGAGAACACAGGCATGGACTAGGACGGCCAGCCGCGACTCGCCTGCTGCTTCTCGCTTCGAGAACAGGTAGGGGCCGTCATGCGCTACCTGGGCCAGTTCCCCAGTGAGTCGGCGCCTCAGGCGCTTCGAAAGGTCGGTGCCTTGGATGGGTCGCGAGTTGGGCGTGTCTTTTGAGGCTGGGCTTTGGAGGAGCCTTTTTGAGCCGAAATATGGCAACACAATAGCAAGGCTACAACATGCCCAAGAGTTGGTGCGCATCTTTGAGGGTATATTTTGTCTTGTGCCCGGCCGCATTTGATGGTTTGGCGATTCTTCTCTTTTCACAATTCTGGCAAAGCCCACATCAATCTTTTGGTTGGTCCAAGCGAAGCGAACGAAGTGCACGAGACAAGTAGCGAGCTCAAGTTGGCCAGCTTGGACTCCAGTCTTCTGAACTTGTGAGTTGGTTTGTTTCATTTTGGAGTCGATTGGCAAATCGCAATTTTCCGCAAATACCAGATACCGCTGGTCAAGGATCGACATGATCTTCAAGAGAAAAATCCGAACTTGTTTAGATCGCCAAATGAGTCAGTTCGGATATCCGCGATCCGCGGTTCTTCTCAGATCTTGGGTTCCTTTGTTCTTTTTTTTTTCGTGTTCGGTTCTTTTGCAGTTGGCTCCCCCCCAACACTTTTCGCGGCAGGTCTGATTTGAAGGAGACGATCATCCCTGAGCTGCAGGAGGAAGACCGCTCGCCAGGAAGCTCAGGTTCGCGGGCCAGAGCCAGATTTCTGGGCGCACGTCACCTGAGGGTCCCTTCAGGAAGTGGAATATGTTTTTAGAGGTAGCCTCCCTCAAATGTTTCAAATGCGCCATAGTGAGAGGAGTTGGAGCTTTTGGATTGGAACTGGATTTGGAGAACGGGTCCCTGGATCTACGTAGGATTGGGTAAATGAGAAACCGTCATCACCAATCCAACCTGCCAGTTGGATTCAAACGATTGAAAGGGAAGCCAGGTGGTTGAACAATATGGGATTAAACACGTTGAACCCGGGGTGGTAACCTCAGCTTTGGTCTTAGCCTGGGTTTGATCCCAGGTTGAGGTCACCCACTTTGTGTGATACCCTCTTTTTCCATGGGAGGGCGTTTTGTGGCATTGGCCCGGGCGAGTGAGCACATCTACCCGACACAACATGCGGTTGAATAGCCCCGATCAGAATCCGAATTCCCAAGATATTTTGTTGGCTCGAATTGCTGAGGATACCTGGCTGAGTCTTAATTGGGAAACCACCCCTGCAACACACAAATCAACACCCGCAAAAAGAGAACCGGTTCCAAAACACCAATCAGACGTTTTCGTTGTTTTTCAGGGTACCCCCACAAACTGATGTCGGTTTTCCTCCGGGTTTTCTTTTCTTGGCGGTCGGAGCCTTTTTGGGGTTTCTAGGGTTGAGTGGTAGTTTCCACACCACCAAATAACAACTTTTCGCGACAAGGACTGTTCCGCTTGCTTCAGCCACACAATGGGTCTTTTTGCTCGGTTTTCTCCAGGGTTTTCTCCGGTTTTCTTTTTAAATGGATCACAAAGCAACACAGCGGAGTTCGAACGCCCCAAGGAAGGACGGCCTGGTCTCCTTCGAGGCCTTTGAGCGGCTCATGCTGAGGCCGGACGCCGAACGGTTCCATGTGAAAAGGGTGCGAGGGTCTTTTTCTCTACATTGGACATATGTCATACGTATCATGTTTTTTTTCACTCTAGATACAGATATAAATATCCGTACATACATGTATGGACACACACACATATATATATATATACACACTATACATACTCGTATGTATGACATGCAAATATGACTTGTAGGTGCTTGGTTTCTTCGTTTCGGGTTTGTCTACGTGAGGTGCCTCAGTGAGCACACCTACGACCCGGACGACTCCGAGACCCTCTTGGCGGCTTTCCGGGCGAGGGCTCCCAGTCAGACCTTTGAGTTCACCCTTCAGTGGCTTTAAAGAACATGTGGGTCCCCTTGGATGGTTTAAGGAAACCACCTACCAAGGGTCCCCAATTTTGAGAAACAGGGTCTTAAACGGAATCCGCAAATAAGACCTAGCGGGTTGACCCCAAGCCGGCAAGCCGGAATGGAACCCAGAGTCACGCTCCAAAAGGCGTGACTTGAAGTCCCGAAGCTCCAAGTTGCAGTTGGATGATCCAGGGGTCATTGTTGTTTTCAGAGGTGAAACGATTCTCGCTTTTGCACGCTTCGTGACCGGGAAAGCTTTTGGAGAGGGCCTCCAATTTTCCAAAGTTGCAAAGGAATGTTGTCCGTGCTCTCCTGGCAGCATAAGCCCAACTTGATGCTCACCAGTGACCAGTGCAAGCGCCGTATTTTGGATTAGCGTCCCAGATGTTTCCCTTGTTTGCACGATTCATTTTTTGACCCCGAGTGGATGTTGAAACACGAGTGCTTCAAATCGAGTTGGCAGTTTGTCCGAGGAACCTTGCTTGGGCACCAATTGCGCACCAATCACGTGGAGTTCAGGTCCAATGCACATTGAAAGTCATGGAGAGATCATGGTCCACAATGAGCCTCAATGGCCCCTTACAAGTCATTGACAGCCACCATAAGCCTGTGACTCTGCTAACGGCTCTGAATCGGATGTGCTATCGCAGCATTTGGGATTTAAGAGGACCAGTTTTTCAGGTACCTACCAAGAGGGCCACTACGACGGCACTACGACCCAAGCGCTCTCCGAGGTCCTAGACCCACAGGGCCTCGGCTATATCGACTCGAACCTGATGCACGAGTGGCTGTCCACCAAGGGTGGGAAGGCCGGACGGTTTCAACCCCGAGCCCCGTTATGTCCGAGGGGTGTCAAACAATTGGGAACCCCTATGGCCCTATGGGTGGCTTCCTCTTGGCTTTGTAAAACTATCCCAAGAAGGGCTACCCGAGCAAAATCCAAGATTACAACCCACGGGTGGATTGATCGTGAGCGCTTTCATGCAGAAGAACTGGGACAACCATGGGAATCAATCAAGGAGCCCCGATCGTTTGCTTCAACCTACAAAAAAAGAAAGAGCAGAAATCGTGGAGCTAGTCGGATGCGAGCCCCATCTCTTTTTGGTTTCGTGGCAGCGATGCTGGGAATGTGCTGGGCATCGGGAAAGCCTCGCAACATTCCCAACTGATTAGGCAAATGTTGTTCTGTTTTGTTTCTGATTCTGCACCAAATTAAAATGGGGGAACCCAGTTGGCTTCGTGGTGGCTTCCTTGTCAATCGGTGCATGTTCGGTGGCCGACTCGCGGCTCGCTTTCCAACGCGCGGAAAAAGGCGATGGACTTCTTCAAGGAACGGGAGACCTCGGACTTCCTGGAGTGTCCTGAACTGACCTCGCCGCGCAAAGGGCCCGTTGCCCCCCCCCCCCCCCCCAACAGAAAGGGAAAGAGAGACAAAAAAGAGGGGCGGCGCGACCCGGCCTTTCGCGCGTTTTTGCTCCTCTTTTTTTTGGGGGGGGGTTGGGGGTGGGGGTTCCAGGTCAATGTTTCGAGAAGCCTGAATTTGGGAGGTTCAAACAGATCGCGCATTTGGAGGATTCAGACATGCGAGTCTGAGAGTGATCCCACCACTTGCGAAACTGGAATTCTCAAATCCGAAGCTGATCCATGAAACGTCGCTTTTGGAGGGCCAACACGAAATGGGACCCCGGTCTTCTCAAAAACCAAGGGCCAACAGCCAGCATTGGTTTCCTCAAAAGCAGATGTTGCAAGCGCCTCAAAAGGCACTACACTGAGACAAGGCCCCTCTTTTCGGATGGTGCTTAAGTGGAAACCTAAAGAGGATGTCAACCACTTTTGGGTGTCCAACTCCTATAGGAGGATACACCGTCATTGTTTTGGCTTTGGGAGACCTCAAGTCCATGCAGACGAAGCCATGTCAAGGGCGGATCTGGGATTAGAAGTGGCTGAAGTTGGGAAATCAACACGGAGCTGCAGAAAAGGGCTCCTGTTCCAACACGTTGTTGGGGTTTGCTTGGCCACAATGCGTGGGCTTCCTTCAAATGTGAAGATATACATATATACATATAGACATGTCTACATATCTACATATGTACATATGTACATATATACATATATACATATATACATATATAGATATATAATATGGTGTGCCGGCGGTCATTGTCAGACCCTCAGGAGAGGCATATGCGTATTCAGAAAGGCTCGTCAAACAAAGGCACCACCAGTGCAAAGCAGGATCAGAAACCCACCAAGACTTGGTTTCTGTTGACCCCTCTGCAAAGACACTAACTTTTTGCGGGTCCATAGGAAAATCCACTGTTTCCCAATCAGTTAAAGTCCAAAGATCCAACCGAATAGCCCTGAAGATCTTCCACACAAACAGAACTGGGGAGTCAGTCGTCGAGACTCCACACAACCAAATAAGATGCAAGTTTCCAGCTCACGCAAGACCAAAGTCAAAGAAACCTAGTGGGAATGGGCCCACTTTCTATACTTGTATTCTAACGATTTTTCCTAGGCACTCCTTTGAGGGAGATCCCCCCCGCCCCCACCACAATTTTCCCCAAGCTGCCAAGGTATGCGAAGGATAAAGACAGCTCAGATTCCAGCCGCATCTACTACGAGGCAGGAGTCTGGCAAGGTTTTTGGAGGCCCATTCGAGCTGACCTTCAGTAGTCACAGTATGGGAATCCCACCTCATCGTCTCACAGATAGGGGCAACCATTTTGCACAACACATTTGTGATGGCTTTGACAGAACCGCCAAGGAAGCTGTTCCCATTTGAGAGCTCCGTTTGACCCTCCGCGCCTTGTCTTTTCTTTTCTGGACCCTCTTCCGAACGAGTCTCCAACAGACACAAGGGTAATGGCTCCCTTTTCTTTCCCTCACCCAAGTGTCAGAGCAAACCAAAGCTGTAAGCAAATTCCGCGTGAGGTGATTCGACCGGGCCGCGTTTGACGGGACCTGAGGCTCAGAAATTGCGGCAACCCTTCTAGAAAAGACGTGCACTCCTTGAATTTGTAGTGTAGCGTTTGTAGTCAAAGTTTACTTCTTTTGGTCTTCACGATTTTTGATTTGGCGACTTTAGCCGAGGAATTGCTGCTGTTTGTGATCGAAGGGTCTAGGTCTGGCCAAGCGCAGTGTATTTGTTTGTCACTTTATTCGGGCGAATGAGTTTCGGGGTCCTCGTTCACCTGCATAACCCTAGGGGCTGTTGCGTTCTGTCGCGAGCCAATCCGGGATGTCTGGGCGGAAAGGCCCACGGTTGGGGACCTGGGGACGGGTTGGGGAGCTGGGGTGGCTCTTCCTTCCTTTAGGACTGTGTAGCGAAGCTAAACGATGACATTGAGAAGCACCTGGAGAGTCTCTACCAGGACAGGGCTTGATGAAGAGAGACACAGAGAGAGAGAGAGAGAGAGAGAGATAGAGAGAGAGATAGAGAGAGAGAGAGAGAGAGCCAGCGAGAGAGAGCCAGCGAGAGAGAGCAGTCCGTTTTTCTGTGACATTCTTTTCTAGCTGGATGAACCTTCTGCAAAGGTAACCCTTGCCTTTTGGGTGTTTTTTTTGAGGGTACCCCCCTGTCTAGGGTTGGTTGAAAGGACAACTATTTGGGTCTGTCATTTTTTAGGGGACCAAAAGAGGTACCCCCCAAAAAAGACAGACCCGTTTGGGGTCTCTTCTTCCTTGGTGCCATTGCAGGCTGCCCGCGGCTCCAGCAGTGCCTGGGCGCGCATGAGGTGGTGCAAAGGAGGCATGCAAAAAACCAAGCGCCAACTCCGGATAGTAGAAATAAGCGAATTTTAGCACGGGTTGATAGTCTTAGGGGAAGCCTTCAATTTCAAAATGAACGCCCAAAGGTCGGGCCAACTTGAGGGGATTGACAAGGTCGGGCCAACTTGAGAATTTCCACTCCCTAGGGATTATTTACAGTGAAGGCGTCACATGTCTTTCGGGTTTTTGAGGCCTACCCTCTTCTTCCATGGTGTCAACGGCCCCCTTCCCCCAATGCCCCTCCAACTGCAACAGGGCTTAATTGCGACTAATCTAGTTGTGTTCCTTTTGGGCGCCTTACTTTTTCGGGGTGCATTTTGTGGGGCCCCTGGCAATGGGACTTGTGAGGGACCGTCCCTCAAGAGTGGCCACTTTGCAGGTAGTTGTGACCCATGTTGTTTCATGTTCAAGAATCATAATTCCGAAAGAACTCTTCCGGCCCACCATTTGTTGAGTCCTCATTTGGAATATATTGAATACATCTGTCCGTTCGTTTGTTGGGGGCCGGTGGTTGTTGGGGTCTTTTGGCAATGAACCAAATGACCCGATAGACGGTCCGGATGCCATGGTCCAAATTTGAATTTCGTCTGCTTAGGTGGGGGAATGGACGTGGACTCACACGTCTTTCCACAAAAACCAGCGAGGCGTACGCTCATTTTGTCATGTTCAGTAAGAGTCCGAAATTATGCACCTTTCAGACACCCTACGGAATGATATGATTCCCCTGGTACATACCAACAAAGAACGGTTGCAACCCTGGTTTCAACGCGCAGGATTTCTTCCATCTACAGTATTTTGAGAGTGCTCATGTATGGGGCATTGTTCGTCTGATTGACAAGGCTGAGGAGGCTGGAGGGTATCCGACGTAGAGTTCTGGCCAGTGAAAACACGGTTGGCTGGGCATTGGCTCAACAATATCGAGGGACCATTGCTCGATTATGCCTCCTACTGCAAATACCCATGTTTTCTTGGGTACATTTTAGATACCGGGTTTTCCAAGATTTATATCATTTTTAGTCAGGGGTTGAGAGCATGCCCGCTGGGAAAGGTAGGTAGTTGGAGTACCTCTTGCAAAGAGGTGCTCATTTGCGCGCTGAGGCCAATGAGCGAGTTGCGAGTCCGCGCTCGTACGCGTGCGGGTGCCTGTGAGGGAACCCGCTGGTCGTGAGGTTTGTGAGTGGAAAAGGCGGGAGGGAGGGAGGGAGGGAGGGAGGGAGGGAGGGAGGGAGGGAGGGAGAGAGGGAGGGAGGGAGGGAGGGAGGGAGGAGGGAGGGAGGGAGGGAGGGAGGGGGAGGGAGGGAGGGAGGGAGGGAGGGAGGGAGGGGTAAACCCCTGAGCGTGGCACCTGACGAAGGCATGATCTGCCTGAAGAGGAGATTGATTTCCTCAGGCACCCTCACAGCCGCTGGAGGGAGAAAGTGTAGTGGTTATTTTCTGTGACAACGGAACCCCCGAACAAAGTGGTCGAGAGGGAAGTCCCACTTGGCACAGAGTGGGAAAGGCAACATGGTTTGAAGCCCACAATCCGCGTTTTCCATCAATCCGTGCCTTGGGTTGTGAGCGTTTTCTCCTTTCAGGTGATTTCCCGAGGACTGAGCAACCTTTCTGCAAAAGAAACTGTTCAAGTCCAGTTCCATGTTGATGGGTGGGAGGTTAAGCCCAACAAGAAGTTTTATACGTTCCACTTCAAAGCCTATGGCTACAAGTAGAAAGCCCCACAGCAAGCAAATGAGCAGTTGGGGGCTACAAAAGCCAAAACATCAAGCAGATCCCAAGCCCCCCTCGGCTGAAACCCGCAAGCTCTTGCTGGGGTCTTATACCTGGGGTTGACATACGGAAACGTGTCGAAATAAGGATTTGGACCCTTTAAACCGATTTTTCTCAATGGTAGCCTCAACAAGAACCGATGCCCATAGTTTCTGAAACTAGGGCCTCCTAACATGGTTGGTTTCGGTTTCTCTTTAGATAATGCTAACAGCGTATTAGTAATCCCCCCCCCTATTAGTCCGGTCCGGGTGACCCCCCCCAATACTAAACAATTCATAACTCAGAAATTACCCCCTAAATATATACAAAAAGGGTTCCAAGGGGAAAAAACAACAATTAGACCGGTCCCTCCCCCAGATGGCTGCTGCTATCTCATTTTCTCCACTGCTTGTTGAAGATTGTCCTGAGAAGGTGCTTTGGCTCAAATGGGCTCATGCTTTCTTCTGGTACCTTTCTCTTCCTGCTGCTGCCTTGCTTAGGGCTCTCATCTCCACCTCCTACTCTCATCTTGAAGCTTGGTGGATGCTTTTGGGCCTGCCCAAACCACAAAACAAAAAGTGTTCTGAGATGGTCGATTTCTTATTAAATCCTTTACTTAAAAAAACAAGTTTAGAAGGTTTCAAATGGTACCCCATATTAGCCCCTTACACCCCCAATTAATAACCCCCCGCCTAATTAGTGCGGTCCATCGGCCCCACCCCCAAGAAAAACAACAACCAGGCTTCTCAATACTAAATCAAATGGAAACTCAATTCCAGATCTCAAAAGGAAGCTCCAGCAGTACTAAATCAAATGGAAACTCAATTCCAGATCTCAAAAAGAAGCTCCAGCAATACTAAATCAACTGGAAACTCAATTCCAGATCTCAAAAGGAACCTCCAGCAAGACTAAATCAAAGGGAAACTCAATTCCAGATCTCAAAAGGAAGCTCCAGCAATACTAAATCAAATGGAAACTCAATTCCAGATCTCAAAAGGAAGCCCCAGCAATACTAAATCAACTGGAAACTCAATTCCAGATCTCAAAAGGAAGCCCCAGCAATACTAGATCAAATGGACTCAATTCCAGGTCTCAAAAGGAAGCCCCAGCAATATTAAATCAAATGGAAACTCAATTCCAGATTATTTAGGGGGTCAAGGCAAAAAACCTTCCAAAATCTTGCCCCCCCAAAACCTTCCGACCTTCAAAGGGGGGGGGGGTTACAGACTAATACGGGGTTTACATTACCAACCACAAGAGGCACCATCTTGAGCGCTCATGCCCTGCCCTGAGGTTCTTTGAGGCGAGAAAACGACGCCGGCAGCTGCTGCCGAGCAAAGCGTCGCGCGCGAGCGCTGAAGAGCGGCGCCGAGCGAAAAGAAGTGGCGTATGCGTCCGGGGCTTGAAATTCTCATGGTTTGGTTGGACAAGCTGGACCTGAATGTGGAAGGCCTCTCACGGGGTTCAACTTTGGTTTCAACCTAAGGGGGAACTAGTTAAAACAAAAGCCTTGGGCCATCAATCTATCATTTTCAACGAGGGGGGTAGGCCATGCAAAAGCTCCACCTGGTGTTTACTTGCCACTCGTTTTGGATTGGGGGTTCGGAGGTTCAAGTTGAAGCAGATTAAGAAGCCCGTCCTATTAATGGAGGGGTTCCCCTCCAAAAGTGATGAGCCCCACCAAAGGGGGGGCACCTCCCTGTTTCTGCTTAGTTCGGGGTTCCCAGTGGGTTCTATCTTTGGGTTCAAAAGGAACCAGCCTCCAACGCAAGCCAATTAAGGGTCAAACACAACCGTTTGACTCAGCCTCCCTCTAATTTGTGGTTTGGATTTGTGGTTTGGGGTAGCGGGCCCACTTCCCCCTACAAAAGCCATGGCTTCAAATCCCAATTCCCTAATCCAAATCACCTTGCATTTGTTGTGAAAAGCGTCTGCTGATTTTGTGAGGTAACCCAGCCCTGGAAAGATGCAAAACAAGGACAGCCTTAAAAGCTTTAAAGTTGGCGTGGACAGTGAAAGCATAGTCATACTGATAGAGCGGATTTTGAGCGCTGCTGAATTGTCATGCGCCATGTTGCACCTCCACCGTGGGCTGGCTTCGGCTAAGGGCCGCTCCCCAGCAGACAAACTCTTCTTTGGAGGGTATGCTGGTATGCCTGGCTTCGAAAAGGAAGTTATAGGGACAACAGCCCATTTCAAGGCTCTGCCGATTTGGAGACAAGTCAGTGGGTGTGAGTCCAATCAAGTTTTCGTGCAGAATCCTTCGCTTGCGAAGCACAATCAATAAGTACACAAGCAAGCGACAACTAACTGCGGTGGGCTTTTCTCTTTCTTGCGCTCCTGCAAGAACCATGAAAAAGCACCGAACCCCAAGGGAAACAGTGAGAAGCGCCCCAACCCCCCCCCCCCCCTTTGCAGGACCATATTTGAGAAAGGGTTTTACAGAGTTTTACTGCCTTTAGAGCTATTGTAAGCCCATGTTACCAGCGCAGAGGGCTGGCCTGGGAATCCAGGACTTGGTGGATCGGGTGGTGAAGATGCAGTCGACGATGTACGGCATGTGAAGCGGAAGCGCGACCTCGCAGCTCGGGGCTCGTGCGGACACCCACATTTGGATAGCTTTTTCAGAAGGAAGCCAAAAGGATTCCCCAAAAAAGAGAAGGAACATGGGCATGACCCAATGTTGGAAGCGTTTCTAAATCGGCTCCCTCCCTACGATAGGGAACGTGCCTGAAAGTATCTGAAGATGATCTACGGTTTCCTTGTGTCAAACACCACGGGTACACCATGTCTTGATCAACACATGTAACATGTATTTTTCACACGAGCCCACTAATGTTGACCCCGGATTAATCAACCCCAGTTCATGAATATGGGGGCGTTCCAGTCCAAAAGTGCCAGCGATGCACATAATGTAATCCGGGATGTAACCAAGATTCAGAGAACCCAATAGGCGGGTTCGATTCCAGGAGTTAGGCGGGTTTCAGCTTGCACCAAAGGACCATCATGTTTGTAGCATCCTAGAATCCGATTGGTTAGAGCGCATTGAGTTGATCAGCCAACAAACACTTAAAGCGGTCTGTTCAACAGGATGCCCACGCTAGATGAGTAATCAAAAAGACACGCCGGCCGAAGCGGCGCATTGAGAAAGGTGCAGCAATGCAGCTCATTTCTGTCCTAGAGGGTTTTGCTTTTCATGGTGCATTATTTGGGTTTGTACATATCTTGACATCTCATGAGCCCCAAACTCAGCACAGAACGTGGGCCGTTTGAAGACAAGCGACCCTGACCTCGAGGTGGCGCCTGCGGCGCAGGTAATGTCTTGGTCTCGCCCAGTTGTCCGGCGGAGCCGTGATTTTCAAGCCGCCGATGCAGGGGATGTGGGGCGACCAGAAAAGAAACATCTGCGCGCCTAGCCTTTCTGCAGGTTAGGCACATAGAAACCCCTCTGTGATATTTGGGCATTTGGCCCCTTGATAGGCCGGAACATTCTACATCCTTGAGTGGCGGGAAACACTTACTTGCTGGGTTGGCAAACTTTCCCGCCAGAAGGTTTTGGAGCCAGGATTCTGCTTGATTTGGGCGTGCCCAAAAATTGATATGGATCCAAGGTAGTGCTTGCAGACCACCAAGGATCAAAAAGGAGCCTTTCCATGAATGTCTCATATGTCGCTCAGACGGCGCTCTTTTTGCAGTTTTGGGATTTCGAGTGCACCGTAGGTCCCAAGGCAGTACCCCTCACAGCATAGAGCTTCCGAGCCTATCGCGCAGAAGCGTCTTGTACGGTTTCTGAACCTAGCACCCAACCAGCATCCCTGTCTGTTGGCATGGGCTGTGAGTCAAAATCAAGAGTTGACGCTTCTATGCCGGTTTCCTTTGGGTTCCTTTTGACGCCACGAGCCACGTAGTCCTCTTGCCAGAGGTGTAGATCTCCATGCCTTTGATTCTTTACCATCTGAGACCCCCGGTAGACTCCCTGAGTTTTTTCGGACTTGATACTTTTTGGTTGCCTTTTGGCCAACCCAGTGAGTAACCAAGGTTTAGATGGCTCGTCTCCTCCGTCCCCGCGATAGAGCTGGGTACAAGAGTCAAGAGATCTCGATCGATCTGCACGAACGGAACCGACATGTGCATAGCTATGCGCAAGGAACATATATCATTTCAAGTAGGCGGAGAAAAGGCGGACAAAAAGATGGACGAAAGCAGAAACGCCACCGGCTTTAAGCTAGACTCGAAGCCAGCTCCAACGTGCCGAGTATGGATTGCGCCATGGCCGGTGCCTGAGTCGGACCGCGTTTTCTTTTCTTTTTGCACGCGCGGCGCGAAGCTGGTCATGTCTGACCGAAACCCGGAAAGGTCCTTCATGTGCGTTTGACCCAAAAATTCCACAGGTACAAAAATATCACCAAATGTTTTCCACGCGATCTGCCAGCTATTGTTATCGTCGCAAACATGGCACTTGACCGGGGGGTCCCTTCGAGAGAGTGTTCTTCTTGGCGCCGCGGGTGCATCGTTTGTGGGACTCGCATTGTACTCTAGAAAACAGGTTTGGATGTGGCTTTTGCGGATCCACCCTTGTCGATATTAAAAAATACTAAAAGATTACTCAAGAGCAACTAAAAGGGGAAGAACAGGTGAAATCCACAAACCATGCAACCAAGCTGTTTTCTTGACGTACACATCGATCCAGCGAGCTGCGCAGCGGCTGGTATCCCTGCTGGCTTCACAGACAAGATTTTCCCTGTCAAGCCTCGGCTGTTGGGGTTGTCTACCTTGTCGAAGTCTGGGTTTGGAGCCTCCCAAATACTTACCCAAACGGAAGAATCTGAAGGGTTTGAGTGATTCTTGGTCACAAGCTGCCCAACAGTTGCCCTGCCAACTCCCCCACCGACTGATCTCGTACTCCCCCAAGAGCCGATTAACCAAACAACCGAATGGGGTTCTGTACGGGTCAACATGAAGCGGGGAAAGCAGGCCAAGCAGGGCCAAACAGAGTTTGGCCAATACCCAGCAGGCTCTGGTCCATTTTGAAGGGACATGGGGGACTCCAAACATATCCCACAACCACCTGTGGGTTCGCAAACACTGCCCACAATCTCAAGTAAGTATATAGATGTACATTCGTCTGTGGCCCAACTGACTGGAGATCACACCCAGGATGGATCGAGCATCTCTGCGTCCTTCAGCGGTGTTAGCCCCAGGTGGATGGAGTACGCCTTTCAATTTGTATCCCTTGCAACTTCAGCTGAAAGCTTCGGGATCTCTGCCCAAACATCTCCGGGCTGGTAGGGTTCCGGGAGGTTTGTGGGAAACCTTCCGGAAGGGTTCCGCAAGGGTTGCTGTTGCTTCTGTTTCTTGCCACTTACCAGGCGCAGCTGAAGTGCCAAAGGCTAGCTGATTTCTTGCCAGCCTTCACCTGTTGGACCGTTGCCATTGAACCAATCTAATCCCTCGAAAATAGTCTAACACATATAACATCATAAGCACATCTTAGTGTAACATATTCTGAATTGAACATTATATATATTGTAGCACATGTACATTAAACAACTATTATACAATCCTTCCACCATTTCACGAACAATCAAGATGCCATCACAAAACTTTCAAGATTCATATCATAGACATCTTAAGCAAGTTATGCCTCTTCAACGATTTATCACTGCAAGTCTTGCCATTCATGTTTTTTTTTTTGGACTTTTTATTTATTATTCGGTTTATTGTCTTGATATCATTTTGAATACATCGAAAAGAAACACTACTATAACAACATATGTTTCAACATAAATGTTCTTTTTAAAGCTTGGAATTATGTGACGCCCTGATTAAACATGACGATATCTGTACAAGTCGGTGATTGACATTTGTTTTCCGTATAGACTCGGTGATTGACATTCTTTTTTTAAATATAAAGACTCTACATTTAAAATACTCTGCGATTGACATTTCTTTAGACTGCTCTGATTCACTCTTTTTTTGCTGGTTCGATAGGAAGGGAATGAGTTTAAGTGACCCCGAGAAAAACCATCTCCTATGGTTTCCTTTAAGGGAATTCCAAGGTTCATTCCCAAAACCCTGGACCCATCGCACCAGCAAGATCAACTCGAGCAGGGCTCGAAGATGAGTTGATTTCTTTCCCTACAACCTCCCTCACCCCGCGAGCAACTGTTGCGGCAAAATGGGGCGCCGCTTTCTTCGCGGGCAGGCAGCCATTACGAGCAGCCTATGCCGGAAAAGGGAGGCCCCCAAAATGGCCGTTTCCTGTTGTCTCTTGGTTTCCCTGCGCAAGCTATGTGAGAGACCAAATTGGTGTGGATCGGAGGTTTGGACATTTGGGGCTGATCAATATTCTTGGCCCCCAAATCACTGTGGGTAACTTTTCAGTTCCCCTTCAATGGCATCCTATGTAAAGGATCCTTTGATCAACCCTCGGATGACTGAATCAGAATGGTTGGGAATTGTGCCGTCAATTTGTTTACCCAACTCTAGACTGTACGCATGCTCTCCGGGAGGCAGTCATACCTTCAAACCCCACAATACGGTGTTTGAGCGATCAGGCTCGAGGGTGGAGAAGGGTGCGCGCTTGGCCGGGACCTCAAGGATCGAAGGGCCTGTTTTGCGAATGTGAGTTTCTGGATGGGGTGAGCCCACGTTGTTTTTTGAAGGAACCCTTTTTCTTGGGGTTTTAATCGGACAAGAGACAAACTGAATTGGTTGAATTGAACCGGGCCTGCTTTAGAGCTGACCACTTCTACCACCAAAGGTGGGTGGTTCGTCAGTTGGGTGGTTGCTTGTTTGCTTGGTGGTTGGGTGGGTGGGTGGGTGGGTGGGTGGATGGATGGATGGATGGATGGATGGATGGATGGAGGGAGGGATGGATGGATGGATGGGTGTTGGTTGGTAGCCGCGATTTTTGAACATGTCGGACTCTGAAAGTGAAGGTCCCCTGTGGCGGGTGTCCATAGAACTTGGTTGCGGCGAATTTCAGGCCAAGACATGCTTTGTAAGCGTGCCATGCCAGCCCCTGCCGGCCTTGCCTGCCGGCCTTGGCCCACTGGAACCCGTGGCTTACCCCTGTTACCTCGATACCTTTAATACTCTGGGACGCCCTTTTTAATGGGACCCAATGTTGTCGAAGCTCCCCGAAAAGCGGAACAAATGGCCGAATCCCACTGGACAACAGCAGGGCCGTGTTTGGGCCCCTGTTGGATCCCCAGTAGAAAAAGGGTCAAAAAGGACAGCAACCATCTTAGTGGCTCCCCCGTTTTGAAGGTCCAATTCCGATCAAGCATGTTTTCTGGTCCAATTCGATGATCAAACAAGCATGCCGCCTTTTTCTATTTGTAAGCTTTTTGTGGGTCTCCTTCAGTACCATACTTTTTTGCGGCTCTGGGTTTCGGATAGAAGCAGACGGCCTTGAGGCGAAGCTGGCGAAGGCGTCAGAGCGACTGGTGAGCTGCGCAGTGGCCGACGTGTTGAAGCAGGACGGGCAGATGGGGGATGTTCTCCACCATCGAACCAGGACCGTAATCGGGGTTGGAAACTCTAGATCAATCCGAAGTTCACATTATTATCAGGGGCCAAAGGTGAGGACATGATGTAAAACATGGTATGTGTTTTGTAGGTTCCTCCGGATTCCTTGGATGTTCGGCCCATGCAGGAAGTGGTCAACCTAGGTTATAAGTCACCCACATTGAAGGGAAGCGTGCCATCTGCGCTTGGCAATTCGGGGCTCCACAATTTCCCCGGCAAAAGCGGAAAGCCAAGCCATCAGCCATCAGTCAAAGAGAACCCGTAAGGGCCGGGGCCCTTTGTGGATCTTAGGAAAACCAAAAGGAAAACCACCATTTGGGGTGTCCCCCTCGAGAGCCCTTACTCCTTGCAACGAGGACTTTGAGGCGCTCTTCGAGGTCGCCTTGTCGCGGGAGGACATGCAGAGCCTGCCGCAGGAGCGGTTCGGTTCCGGTTTCGGAGCGTGCGGGAAGCTGGGGCGGAGTGTCGCCCAGAAAGAAAGAACGGCAGCTTTGGGGTTGGTGCCCCTCCGCAAAAGAAGTCATTGCTTGAAGGAACCCCAGAAAGTGGGGGGGGGGTGGGGTGGGGGCCTCGTGCCAGAAAGGAGATTGCGCCAAGGGTGTGTTCTTGTTTGGATGAGATGAGCCTCAGAGTTGATTCGTAACGATTGACGTGGGATATCGGCGCTCAAAGGTGGTGATTCGAAGGAATCTCAACCCTTTTTTGGGCAGTGGGCCATGACCCTTTTATTTTACTCCCAAGTTGGCCGCTGGGCAGAGGCCATCGGAATCCTTCACCCGCAAGTTGTAAGCCTCTGTTTCAAGACGGTGCTTTTTTAATTTCTGCTGGGAGCCACAGGGAACGGGGGAAGAGTTGATGCCGGTGAATCAGCGTCAATCGTCAATGAAGCAGGGGCAATCTGCTGCTAGCCAGCCAGCTTCTGCTCTTGAAACAAATGGGAGGCGACCGACAAGACAGGTTTTCTTTTTGTTGACATCCGAATTTTATGTTGGGGCTCCCTTTAAAGGGGATGTTTTATGGCAATCTTCTGCGGGGAATCCGGATTCAACGTGAGGACTTGATGTTGTTGACGGTTTTTGCTGGGCACTTGATCTGTGTCCCTTTCCCCATCGAATCCGCTGAATGCCATGGCCAAAGAGGGCATCAGGTGATGCCATCCTTGCTGTGATAGGTGGTACCCAAAAGTCCGAAAGGCTGCCAGAAGGATCCGGTTCCTTGATCCTTAAGAGAAAGCTATGGGAAGCCAGATAATTGGGACTCAAGTCATGCGCTCGCACGGGTTCCAGTTGTTTCCATGTCTGGTACTGATGGCTTCAGACTTGGCCGAGCCGATTTTTGTGGGTCACGAGACCGTTTCCCAGATGAAGACATGGATGGCCTCGACCCTGGCGGACAAAGCTCACAAGGCTCAGTCCGAGGCGCGGTATGTGGGAACTCGCTCAATGGGAAACCTGGATGGAAGGGTTCGGTTCAAATAGGCTGCTTCCAGTTGGCGAAACTTTTCTTCATTTGGATTGTCCACCGAAATTGGGCGGAGGTAGCCCCAGGCAAATGCCTTCCTCGTACAAAGGTCAACATTTGTTGTTTGACTTAAAAAGACCTTTCGGAGGGTCATTTCATCGGCAAACAGTCAGTGGAGTGGCATACCCGTCAGATTCCCCGACGCATGGATAGATGCCGATGGGCCTGTTAGTTTGATCCAGCTTTCAAAAGTCAAAGTCAGTTTTCAGGCCCTTTCCACCACACCTCACACCTCGACAGCACCTCGGCATCCAGGACTGACTTTGATGGACCAACGGTCCTCGTGATGAGGTTGTTCCTCGGGCATGAGGTCGATCCCTTGCAATTGAATTGATCACTCCAGATGCCCTCCGTTTTGATGTCATGATTTGGACCACGCCTTGGCGCCAATTGAAAGCACGAGGATTGCACTTTCGGCATGCAGTTGGGACCCCAGACCGGAGACCCAGCAATTCCGCGCCTGATTCTTTTTGCCAGACCCGGCCTTCGTTTTCTTTGAGCGAATGCCAAGTCCGCATGGGATGAATGGAATTCTCGTTTTTTCTTTCAACGAGGACTTGATGTCTCCAGATGGTTGGGTGCCTTTCGTTTCCCCTTTGCAACCAGCTGAGATGGGCGCCCGATTTTTCACACAGACCCATGTGGGGGAATGGAGCCTAGGAATCGAATTGCGGGCAATGGACATGGAGCCCAGCTGTCGATTTTGCGGTAAGCCCCTCATCCTTCTTAACCCTTGGCCGGCCGGGGGAGCTGGCTGTGTTGCTCTACCTGGCTTTGGTACCCACCCCAAGAGTGTGTAGAAATAATGTCATATAAGAGTCATATATTACCTTGTACGTACACAGGTACAATATAAAGATGTGTATATCTATACATCTATATCTATATACATGTATATGTATCTCCATTGCCTTGCTTAGCTTCCTGCTCTTTGCGGCGAGGTCCTGGCAGCTCTTTGTGTTCTTTTTCTGTGGCCCGCACCAGGCTATGTGGGATCACCAGGTCGCCGAGTTCCTGGCGCGCCTGGACGCCGGGCCAGAGGCCGATGTCAAGGGGACGAAGCAAACCGCAGCTTCCTCGTGGAGTCGAAGTGAAATGTCCCGGGTGGTCCACATCATGCCACTTACCACGTGTTTTTTTGTTTGACACGGGTTTGTTCGACCTCTTGCGGGTCGCTGGGCAGCGCTGATGTAATTTGCTTGGTTTGATCTTGAACTCTTTGGTTGAAGATGTGCGTTTCTCCACTAGCAACAAACAAAGTAACACCTCTACCTGAACAAATCCCTGAAATTGATTTGAGATGTTAGGTACTCATTCGGGATAGTTGGCTAGACATTTGCCGCGGAATCCCTCGATGTTCCCTGCTCCAGTTTTGTTGTTTTTGTTTTTAATTTCCAGCGCTTCTATAGTCTCCACGGATCTCTGGTGCGGAAGCCTACAGTGAGTCATTGTAGAACAAGTTGCTTCTCCACGATCAAGATTTGCTGTCTCACTCGGCATAGTGACCCAAGAGCACTTGAGAAAGTTAGTGTTTACAGCATGATCAGGAATTCATGTTTTGATTTACATGATGGCCTAAGACTGACTGACCTGACCTGAAGGTGTTTTTTTTTAGCCAAGAATGCCTTTTGTGGCTTTCTAAGCAGAGCCGTTTGGAAAGGCAAACTTTGCCTCCTTTGGGTGGTTTGCAATGCTGCATATGTATAAGTATATGTATGTATGTATGTATATATGTGGATATATTGACTGTACATATATATATATATATATACATACACATATAACCATGTCAAGATAGATATGGTCGATAGATATGGTCCCATCAGCCACAGGAGCCTCCGGGCTCCCCTCCCAGGCGCCACGGCCTTTGGCAGAGAACGATTCCTCGTCCGCCTTGAAGGACAGGCAACGGACCGAAGCTGCATGGTTCGAAGTTTCCAGCTGGCTTTGAGGTAGATGGAAGCCAGGGGCCAAACGGGCTTCAAGAAACGCCTGAGGCAAACCTGGGTACATCAAGGTGTTCCAATGGCAATGCAGCCAAATGATCCGGTACTTGGAGGGGAGCTTTGGCGGATGGGCGAATTGGCCTTTACTCCCACTCGCCCTGAACTTGAATATCCGGTGTTTCTCAGAACAGAGGCCCCCCAAGCACCAACCAAAAGCGGGTTCACCATTTTGAGAAGAAGAAGAAGAAGAAGAAGAAGAAGAAGAAGAAGAAGAAGAAGGGGCAGAAGAAGAAGAAGAAGAAGAAGAAGAAGAAGAAGAAGAAGAAGAAGAAGCATAAGAAGAAGTTCGCTCACGTCAGTGTTTGGTCGACCGTTTCCAGCCACAACTGACATGCTCCGGCAAGCTTTTGATCAAAGTCCTTCCTCGAAGAAGGTTTTGTCGGCCTCTTGGGCCGATTCAAACTAACGGGCGGGTTCCGCCCCATTTTGTGTTGCTGGCTGACGCTGTCCGGTTGGGGAGTCGCAGCGGATCACGTGACAGCTGGGAGTTTCGTTTTGGTGCGACGTTTGGCAGAGACCTGGGTGTGTCTTGCCTTTTCTTGCCAATACCCCTTGCTGTTTCTGGCAAGCTTATGAATGCTGGGATTACCACCAACTTTCTGGTGCGAAGTGGGCTTTCTCCAGCCGCATCCTGTTTGAAGACACCCCAAGGATGTGTTGTTTGGAGGCTCGGCAATCTTTGTGGAGCACAAGCTCAAAAGGAAAGCAACAGGAAACCCAGCCATTTTAGAGGTTCCCTGTTTCGACACACACACCTTCAGGTAACCCTCAGTTGGTGGTTTGAACTGGTTTGGGGATTTGCACCAACTTGCTGTTTGTAGAGGGCTGGCCAGGCAACCACTCCTTACCCACCAAACCACCGATCCAAACGGCCATGGGTCAAACGCCCGTACCCCCAGTGACCATCGCAATCCCCACTAAAATAGACTAGAATGGGTGGTGCACCCCAAAATGGTACCTTTGGTTTTGACCCACAGCCAAACCACCAGTGGGGGGATCCCTGGAAGGTTTTCGGGAGAATTCTCTTCAGGAGTCCGCTGCAGCACACGAGCTGCAGGCGAAGCTGGGCATGCTCAGGACGGCTGCGCTCGGTGCGAGGTTGAGAGGGTGCTCACTTCAAAAAGCACCCCCCCCCCCCCCCAACACAGGTCAGTAGCTCCATTTCTCTTTTTGGGTGTTTCAAGATTCAAATATGGCTTCTCGGGCCGAGTGAAATGTGTTTCCTTTTGGAGGGGTGATGTTTAGATCTTGGCTTCGGCCCAGTTCATTTCGAGTGGGGGGCTGCCAAGGACCGAGTTTCACACACCGCTTCCCAGACTGTATCTATGGAGTACATACCCACATGTACTCTCCACGGAATGGGGCAAATGTGGGCGTATGTTCCCTACACCTTCTGGGTCAACGTTTGGTAGACTAAAATGATGAAGAAAGAATCTACTTCAACGCTAGGTTCAGGGTTGAATGTTGACGGATGTTTCTCAAAATACTCTGGATGGACGAAATCCTGCACCACTCCAAAACCATGGTTGCAACCATTGTTTGTTGGTACTTACGTTGGGGAATCGAATCACTCCAGGGTTTCTAATTTCTGCTCGCGGACTGCGCAACCATCCACAAAGTAGACTCGTAAAAATGGGTTGCGCCCTTTGGGTTCCCAGGGGGAGTTGGTGGCGAGGAGGCACCTGGAGCAGCAGGAGTTGTCCAACCAGGCCCAGGCGCGCCTGAGAGGCGAAGTAATTAGCTACCCTCGGATTACTTGCCATCGGTGCGATAGGTAGGGAATGAGGGAAAGAACCGGAAGCGGGATTCACTTAAAGGAAACCGTAGGGGATGGTTTATAGGGGTCATTCCATTTCTCACTTCCCTGCCTATCGCACCAGCAAGATTAACATGGAATTTGACGTTTGGCAATTTTTTGTAAGGGACCGGGCTCCGAACGTCAGGTTCATGTTAATTGGTGGGAGGGTGCTAACATTTATCACACACGGAACCCCGAAGGGGGGTGCTTTTCCCAAAACGAGTTCAAGGGTACCCACCTACCAACGTAAGCTGGGGGTTCTCAAAGGAACCACCCGAAAGGAAACCAAGGACACCCCAAGAACCGAAGACACCCTCAGGCCCTCTTGGGCTCCTCTACTCACAACTTCCGTTCGGATGGCCTCAGTCGGACAGGAACAGTCCATCTCCGACATGAAGGAAGACATCGAGGCGTGCGCCGGGGTTGGACAGTTGGCCTTTTGTGTTTTGTTGCTTTGGACACCCTCTTTCAAAGTGGGTCCTTGCATTTTCAGGTGAAAAAGGCAACCCCTGTTATCATCATTTGCCATTTTTGACCTTCAGATAACTTGTTGGTACACGACGCAATCTGGCGCCTGAGGTTGATTCTCGAAAATGATGATGGTGGGTACTGTCGATGATGCGCCCTGAACTCCACCATGTTCTTGGCCAGTTCTTGTTTCATTTCAGTAAGGCTGTAAAGAACAATGTTTTTGCAAACATACCAGGGGTTGCAAAGAAGCATGCAATCGGAATCCCGTACTTTATCCTCCCAGGTCCCTCAAGCGGCGGAGTTACCTTTTTGACGTCAGTACTTTGATTAACAGAGGGTGTCCCTTGTGAGACGGAATATGTCCTCTTTCGTCTACCCCTTTATTTTTCCGCCAGGCTAGGTTCTCCCAGGTCGACATGAATTCCTGTCTTCTTTCCAAGCAGGGACATTTTGCTTCAGGGAATTTTCGAATCCCCGTTTCCTTTTTTGTTTTTTCAGGCACTGTTTGACCTCCTCAGTGAAGTTCTTTCCTGTTTCAACAGCCAGACTGTACACTGTAGCCTCTAGAAGATGGAGAACTGATTGGAATTTTCATTCGGTCTAACCAGGACAGGCCCAACCCTGCCGTTGAATCGCCAAACCTCCCATTATGAATGGATTCGGAGGGCCATTTATCTTAGGAATTTGTTTCGCTTTTTTTTAAAGGATCTTTTTGTTTTTCAGGGTGGGTGACTTTTTGGCTTTTTGGTTTTGTGGCTTTTGGCGGCTTTCTGGCTTTGGCTTTTCGCATCCTCTGCTTTCCCAGTTGGTTTTGCCTTGGCTTCCTGCATCCTCAGCATCGCCAGTTCCTCTCTGGTGCCCCCCCCACCCCGCTTTCGATTAGAATGCACCCCTACCCAACAACCCCCCCCCCCCCCCCCCCGCTCCTTTTTAGATTGCTTGTTTGCCCAATTGAATCATCACTTTTTCGATCATCATGTGGCAACCCCCCCGCTACTTTTTAGATTTCTTGCAGAGATTTAATTGCACCCCTATTTGAATCATCACTTTTTCGAGCATCCAATTTCGCGAGAACATGTTGAAAAAATACGGCATTTTATGTAATCGATGTAATCTATGTATGTCTGTGTGTATGCACTTGATCGACCATCACAGGGGAAGCCGCCCCCGCCAACCCTCCCGCTGCTTTTTGTATTCTATCGCACCCTTTCTTGAATCATTACACCCCTATTTGAATCATCACTTCTTCGAACAGCAGGGGGGGGCCGCCACCCCCCTCAACCCCCCCGCTATTGAATCATCACTTTTTTGATCATCATGGGGGGGGCTGCTCCCCCCCCCCAACCCCCCGCTACTTTTTAGATTTTTTGTTTTACAAGGGTTAATTCCGCATTTGAATCCTCACTTTTACCATCATCCGGGGGACCCCCCCCGCTGCTTTTTAACATGCATACATAAATACCTATCTACCTTGCCGGAGAGGAACTGATGCTGAGGATGTAGGAAGCCCTCGGTTTGCTTGTGATGCTGGGGATGTTGGCTGGACATGCGGGGGATGTTGAAAACGATGCGATGATGTTGACGGGCTAGTCTATAATACGTACATTTCGTGAGAAAATGCCGCAAAATACAGCATTTTACTAGCCAAGACGGAAAACAAAAAAAACACCCAAATTAAATCTCGACCCAATGGATTCCGATAGGCTGCCCACGCCAAGCTGGACCGCGACACCGCGCAGCTGGCAGGGAGCCCAACGGAACCCAGAGAAATAGTCGGGACAAGCGAAACCGGACAAGAGATGCTTTTCGAGGGCTTTTTCAGAATCCAAAATCTCAACTGTCCAAGAAGCAGTTGGGGGTGCTGGTCTACAGATGATAGTGTATTTTTGGGGGATGCCAAGTGAATTTGCAGGGAAGCCTGACTGTTAGGTTCTGTTCAAAACCTTGGCCTCCATAAGACAATTCGGTTCTGAACAAACAGAGGAGACCAGTCCAGGGCAAACGTCAAATTGCTATCCAGCCCTTCTTTGGGCCCTGTCCCCCCCCTATTCCCGGCAGGATTTTAGGCTTTAACCGTGATGCATATCAGCGCCAAACAAATGGACGACTGTTGGCCGGGAGGATCGTCTGAAGACCGCCTCCTGCACCCGTTCGGACACTTATGGTTTGCCCCAAGAACTGGCCCGATTTGAGACTTGGGTTTATAGGGCGTTGTTTTATGGAAATCAAAGAGCATCCCGCTCGTTTGGGGTTTCCGTTTTGGGTTGGCCGAGGCCGAGCTGTGTGGCGGAAAGCGGCGTGCGCTGGGTTCGTTTCACTGGCAAGCGGCGTGTTGTGCCCCTTTAACTACCCCTCGGTTTTCCCTTGGTTTTCCGGAGCTATTCCTTGTTTTTCCATGGTTGGCTAGCAATTATTTTTCCGTCTTTCCATTGCTTTTCCCTCGGATTTCCGCAAGTTGTCGCTTGGTTTCCCTTTTTTTCTCGGTTTCTCTCGGCTTCCGCATCGCGATGGGTTGAACGCCATCTCAACTCAACGTGCAGGTGGATGCCCCTTAGAAAGCGACACAGCACTCGCCATTCTTTGCCAGTCCTCAGACCAAAGGCACAGCCCCCGAAGACGATCTGATCGCGTGACAGGTACCAACTGGGGCTGATCCCGTGCGATGCGACCTAATGACGTGGGGGACGTGTGCAACCTGCATGAGCCTTTGCTCGCAGAGGCGACGGAAATTTGCGAAAATAGAAGAGCCCAGTGCGCAGAGCATGGTGAGAGTGCATGATGCAAACACAGGGCATGTGCTTGCTGCTTGCCCAGATCTGGCTCAGGTTGCCGGCTTTGGTCTTTCTGAAGACACCCAAGCTCGTGCCATGAGCCTTTGGCTGCTTCTGGGCCTTCTCACAGTGGCGCTGGGAGAGAGCGACGACTGCAGTGCCCTTCAGACACTCCAGCAGAGCTCGCCCGCGCCCGGGGTGTGCAGCGAATACTGTTCCGTGCAGAACAAGGCAAGCTGCAGAGGGCCAAAGTGCCTTTGGCAGGCAGCCTCTTGCACCGGAGGTCCGCAATGCCTGAGCTACCCGCAGAAATCAAATCCGTGGTCGTGCCGACGTACGGCAGGGTGCAGCTGGAAGTCCCGCGGCTGGTGGCTTTGGGCCTGTTACCCAGCCAGCCCGCCACCTTCATGCGATGAAATCATGACCAAGGAATCTTGCAAGGCAGTTGCCGGGTGCGTTTGGCAAACAGCCGCAATGCCGGCTGAGCAATAAAGTGTGCATTTGTAGAGAGAATTGAGGTTCTGAGAGCATAAAAGCCCAGAACTGCTTGCGATTCCTTCCATGTCTGGAGGGTTGCTGAGAGGGTCCAGGAGACAAAAGGGCCCAATGCTTCAATCCAGGGCCCGCGACTGGGATCCTTCGGGTCCGAAGAACCGCTTTGGGCCCGTTAGGTCCGTTAGGTCTGTCCTAAATCAGGTGGTTTCATGTTGACATCCCTTTAACACCAAGAGGCGGTCCCAGGAAACAATACATACACAGGATTTGGGCCGTTTTTTGTTTTTTTTTTGGGGGGGGGTCCTGCAAGCCGGTGAGGCCATGACTCATAGAGGCTTGTGGCCCACTGGCAGCGCTGAATCAAACGATGTGGCTATGGGTTTTTGCGTATCGGACATCAGACCCCATGTAAATGATGTTGGCAAACGTGTCCGTAAGGAAACACACACACGCACAACCAAACAAAAGCAAGCAAGCAAGCAAGCAAGCAAGCAAGCAAGCAAGCAAGCAAGCAAGCAGGCAGGCAGGCAGGCAGGCAGGCAGGCAGGCAGGCAGGCAGGCAGGCAGGCAGGCAAGCAAGCAAGCAAGCATGCAAGCATGCAAGCATGCAAGCATGCAAGCATGCAAGCATGCAAGCATGCAAGCATGCAAGCATGCAAACAAGACAAAGACAAAAAGCCCACAACACACACACACAAACACAGAATTACACGAACACACACACACACACAAACACACACACACACACACACACACACACACACACACACACACACACACACACACACACACACACACACACACACACACACACACACACACACACACACACACACACACACACACACACACACACACACACACACACACACACACACACACACACACACACACACACACACACACACACACACACACACACACACACACACACACACACACACACACACACACACACACACACACACACACACACACACACACACACACACACACACACACACACACACACACACACACACACACACACACACACACACACACACACACACACACACAAACACACACACACACACACAAACGTACACACACACACACTGGTTGTGGTTTGCATATATTGATTCGATTGAGGATATTCTCACTTGGGCAATGGTCTGCAGCTGTTGCCTTTGCCGCTGACATTTGGCCCCACAGCCAGTTTCCAGTTAGAGGAACTTGCCCATTTTTTTCGTCGCCGTTGCGGACGGCGAGATCCATTTGTGTGCGGGAGATGACAATGACAGATTGCCCGAACATGGCCGAAATGCAGCCGTTCCCGCAGCAGGTCCTTGTCGGTATACTGGTGCCCGCAGGCAGGAACGCTTGCCTTCTGTGCTTGGGGGTTTCGAGCGTTCCAAGGCTGGGTGCATTTTTCAGGGCCCACCAAAAAGGAAGTTGCTTGAGACTTTGGTTTAGTTTTTCTAAAACCCTAGACCTCCGGACCTATACCTTGTACCAACTGTAGCCCAAGGTGTCTTTGGACGACTACTTTGGGCCTGTACCAACTGGAACGCCTTGTCTTTCTTGGCTTCTGGCTGCTTGCAGGTCAGGTCCCGGCGATGAACTTCCCGGCGCAGAACTTCCAGGCGATGGCGGCCCCTGCCTTTTATGCCGCTCAGTTCCATCAGGAAGTTCGATTGTCCAGGAGGTTTGCCACTGGGATTTCCATCAGACATTTCTATCAGGACGCACCAAGAAGCTTGGATTTCCCAGGTAGAATGAGGTTTGGATGTTGGACGGTTCATTGTTCATTATACCTCGCGAGGGGTCATACAAGTTTCAGCTTGCCCTCCTCTCCAAAACCTGAAAGTGGTGTGGATAAGAGGGTTCCCCCCATGAGCTACTATGTTGAGGGGACACATGGGGTATACTGCCGCCGTGCTAGGGTCGATTTTTGCAACCTCAAGCAAGCAGGTGGGAAAGAGCACCTTACCAGTTGGGTACCCATTCAAGTCATTCAGAAGAAAGACGCGCCCACTTCCGGGAAGCGTGGGGTTCTCATGCATTGAGCTGAGGCCAAGCCTGAATACCTCTACGTGCCGCAACAATTGCCGGTGCCCATGCAGGACTTCCGGTCAAATGGTAGGGTACGCCTCTCCAGCCCGAGGGTCGGCTCGGGGCACCTTGGGTTACATCTCGACAAGGTCCGTGAAAATCCCTGCGGGTCCCGAGTGGGAACACCCCGACCCAAGCCTGTGTTTAGAACGGCCCGCGGTGTTTGTTGACCTTATCATGAGAGGATTTTTGAATGACCTTGGGCCTGGGACAACAGGGTCCCCTTGAAGGTGAAATCCTGAATGAGTGCCTAAGCTCTTCGTTCGGGTATGACAATCATTTGTTCTCCCTTGCCCAAGGCAGTGACATGGATAGCAACTAGGCAATTGGTGTTAGCCGGCTGGAAGATTTCATGGGCCGTCGGTGTGGGCGCCGGAAGACCTTTTGAGGACAAGAGGTGTTCCACGGACAGTCATACACACTGACGACATCAGGATTTCACTGGACGGAAATTAGGGGGTCCCTATCGATGGCCCCACGTGGGTAGTCCCTATCGATGGCCCCACGTGGGTAGTCCCTATCGATGGCCCACATGGGCAGTCCCTATCGATGGCCCACATGGGCAGTCCCTATCGATGGCCCACATGGGCAGTCTCTATCGATGGCCCTGCGCCTGCCACGAAATCTGTACTTGAGCTTGCGTGTGAACAAAATGCTGCGCCTGCCACGAAATCTGCACCTCAGGTTGCCAAAGTGCTGCGCCTGCCACTCGATTTGCGCTTTCGCCTCTGTCTTTCTGTCTCTCTTTCTCCTATCTATGACCTGACCTTGCGAAAGGGCTGCGCCTGCCACGAAATCTGTGCTCCATCTTGCGAAAGTGCTGCGCCTGCCACGAAATCTGCATTTGACCTTGCGTGGGAACAAAAGGCCTGCCACGAAATCTGCACCTCAGGTTGCCAGAGTGCCGCGCCTGCCACGCGGTTTGCACCTCCTAAACAGTCTGCGCGGCCGTGCCATTGGGGAACTTTCCCCACCCTTCGCGATTCGGTCGGGCTCTATCTTCTGATTCTGATCAACTCTGCAAAACTATCTTCCTATCTTGTGACACCGGAAGTTTTCTAATTAAACTTCCTTTGATGATTTCCACCCCAAACTACCTCCTCAGGGTTTCGAAGGACAGCGCAGCCACTATTTAGCTACTATACAAAGGGTCCTGGCAGCTGCGGGTGGAACGGCTCCTGGATTTGTAGAGATTTTTTCTGGTGTCCTGGTGGTTTCTCATCTTCTTGTGCCCATCAAAGGGCTGAGAGACAACGATATTTGCCGCAGGAGAGCAGCAGCCATGACAGCTTGCAGGTGACACCTCGCAGCCCAGTAAGGCGCAACAATCGGCTGAGTGGACAGGGGCTGCCCTTGGGAGCCTTAAAGTGGGAGTGCCGTTTATAGAGGGTACCCTTTCTGGGGCAGGTTTAAAGGGAAAGCAAGAGGACACCATCTCTTCTGGAGGCAAACAATTTTGGAGGCAAACGCAAGTGGCGATTTGAGTCGATCACGCGTCAAAAGTGGTAGACCACTTTATCCCCACCGAATTCTGATGTCCACCAAAGGGTGCCTATGGAATTAACCATATTTCCCAAGTGGGAAATACATGTCTCCAAATTACGCAGGTCCCGGTGGTGTCCCTTTCACCCTTCGACTTCGATGCCGACTCGGCGTTTTCCCTCTAACATGGGACACCTGTGTCAAACATGCTATCCTCACCTGTTCTTTTTCATCACTTTCCATTTTAGGAGAGATCTGATGTGAAGGAAGGGTGGCACTGAACATCTCCTGAAAACCAGCGGGAACTCTGTAGAATCTATGGCTACCTGCTCCAAACTTTTAGGTTTCCTCTTCAAACCACCCTTCTCCCTCCAGCGCCCTCCGCTCCGAATGTCTCTGGAGTCCATTTGGGCAGAGACCCGCAAGCTTTCGGCTGTTTGCGACAAAAAGGTACCAACTCCCAAAAAACAACACACCCATGTGAGCAAATGTGGAACTGTGCCAGTGGTTGGCTGCCAATAATTAAGTTACCTTGACCAAGAGCTGCATATTTCCCCTTGAACTCCACCCACCGAAAAGGAAAGTCACAAATCAAATTGGCGAAGGGTGATATTCCAAAAGGTGACCTTGGCAACCAAAGGTGTTCCAAACCAATGCAGAAACCTACTCCAACCCTGCCCGAGTCTTGTTGCGCAAGTTGCAGGCAGTACTCCCCGGAGACGGCGGACACCGCAGACACGGCCGAGCGCCCGCGTCTCAGCACCTCCGCGGCCCGGCGCATGCGCCGGAAGCGCGCGGCGGAGCGCGCGGCCTTAGCGCTGGAGCAGCAGCGGGCGGAGCGGGCGCCCAACCCGAAGGCGCTCGAAGCACATTTTGGGCAGTCGGGGGCGGGGGTGGCCGGAATTCTGGGAGGTGGCCTTGTGTGTGTGTGTGTGTGTGTGTGTGTGTGTGTGTGTGTGTGTGTATGTGGGGGATTGTTGTGGAAGTCCAAAAAAGGACGAAACAATCCCCGCGGAATGTCAGACAACATTTAACTTCAGAGCTTTAGGGGCTTCTAAGGGGAGGTAGGTGGGGTTTTGGTGGGAAGGGGCCCTGCTCAGCCGTTTGAGTGATCGGATATTGTTCAGTGAATCAGTCCCCTAAGCGGATTGTATGAAGGTCTCGAGGCTAGTTGAAGAAAGTAGATGGGTGCGTCTGTCTGTTCTTGAGAACCCCCTTTTTTGGCGAAATTTACATGTGACAGGGTAGAATCTTCACCTGATCTCCAATTCCACACCTAAAAATTACCAGTTGATGCGGCATACCAAGGTTCTACTATTTGCAAAGACCCCATAGCTTTCAACTGTTGGGGACCCATCTTAGAGTCTCTCTTGGTGGCTCCTAGCCATCCCCTTAGCTTCTTAGGTTTTCAGTTGGAAAAAAGCGGTAGTTTCCATTCAACGCACTAGTCAAGCTTGCAGCAGGGGATCAGAGTGAATCTAAGCCGAAGCGGCCCAGGTGCGGAGTGACTCCATCAGCTCGCGGCCGGGCGGCATTGAACTAGGCCCCTCCCTTTTTTGTTTTAAACGGCACATACATTTGGTGCCAACAGGATACCATACCCACTTTCACTTTTCTTAAATCAAATAAAAGACAAACTACGAACTTGACACCAACAGATACCATCCATGGTTGTGGACGTTCTGTGATGCCGACCAGCTCCGTCAGGGGAACGGGTGTCAAACCACCCTATGAGGGTGCAACAAATCGCGTTTTGAGGCCATCGGCCACTTGCGAGTGGGGACGCCTCTTAGTGACACTCACTTCGTAGGTTGCTCTTAAAGGAACCAGTTCCTCTACGAGGATTCCTTTGGCCAATCACAGTGCTAAGCCCAATTTGGGTGTGTCTCCTTTTAGGGCACCCAACATGTTGGCTCTCCTTTTGGCAGCCTTTTGAATCACACATGGAATCCCTCAAAAACGACACACCCATTTTCCACAGCCATGTTCTGGTTCGAGGCTTTGGTTTTGCTGGGTTTGGACTCAGGGGCCATATGGATTTCTGGGTTCGCACAGTTTTGCCAAACAGCCCAAATAAGATAGGCGAGAAGTTTAGCTTGAAAGCGCCGGCAACACGAGGAACAAAGGGTCCAATCGCCATAGTGGGGATGATCTTACGCCGAAAGGGGAGGACAACGGTTCCATCCGTGATTGCAAGCCCAGAAGCCAACGCTCAAACTAAGCTGTGAAAAAACGGGGCTGGAGTGCGGGCTTTGGTCGGGATATGGGTGTGTCACTTTTCGGGGACTCCAAAATGGTGGTGTTCCTGTAGGTTTTCCTTTGGGGACCACAAAAGGAAGGGCGCCTTCAAAAAAAAGACACCCACGTGGAGTGAATCGGAGGATCTTGGAGCAGAGCGAGAGGCTTCGGCAGCAGTTGGCCAGCGGAATCGCTGACGAAGTTCAGGAAGCACTGGCCACGGTCCAGGGCCACGTTTGGCAGTTGTCCCAGCATGCCACAGGCGCGGATCGAATTGGAAAAGGAGCCCCCAGCTTTTTTCTCTTTTTTGTGGCGGCAACTCCAGGTTTCGATTTTCGAGCAAATATCAATAGGGGTCATGCTCAATCAACTGTGCTCGTGGACTTTTGCCCCCTCTCTTTCAACATTCAGGGATTTGTCTAGCAAGCCTCAAGAACTCAACCAGGGACGAAACAGTTGGGGCTTTCCCTCCAGAACGGAGGTTGTCACCAAACTGATCAATGGACGCTTCTCCTTTTCAGGTGGTGTGGCGGAAGCAACACCTGTGCGGTGAATGAACGTAAAAGTCACGAGTTTTTTGGGGATGTACCCCTTGGCCTTAGGAAACTGGGGATAGCCGCTTCAATGGGGGTAGAGGTGGCACCATCGGGTCAACCCCAGTTCTCCAGTCCAGCACATGGACGTGGGGAATTTGGTGGAATTTCGTGTCTTTTTCCGGTTTGCCCGTGGAGATTTCAAGTGGATTTCTATTTCAGACCCTTTCTCACCGGGTACAAGGGGTTTAAAGCTGTAGCTTCTACGATTCTACAACCATGCTGAGAACGAAATCCGAAATCCTATATGCGGGACAAACCACCTACCAACTGGTACCTTTCCTCCTGATTACTATGGTCCATGGTTTCATTCGGTTGACTCTTCCTTCCTGGTTACCCCAACTGCTTTCTCCTAACCAGAACCACCCCAACTGGTTGCCCGGGTGAAGCTCCTTACCCACAACTCCCCACCTCGTGCGCTAGGATGCCGACTGGTACAGCTCGCCTTGGACACCCACATGGCCCCGCTGCTGGCGCGGGAGTTGCACGGCCACGTGCAGGAAGCTGCGGTGTCCCCGCACGCCAACTACGTCGTGCAGAAGGCGCCTGATTCCGATTTCTTTGGGGGCTGTGTTTGGGGCTGCCGGTGGGTGTTGTTGTACAGTTCCCACAATCCTCCTTGGACCTCCAGATGTGGCCTGGATGGGGGGTGGGCGTAACGTTTCACCAGCAGTGTCAAACTTTGTTGCTGGGTTTACAGCAACCTTGAATTGGTCCATTTCACGCGGGCATGCCGCTTTCAAAGTCTGAATGTAGATTGAAACCCTTTAATGGACTAATTATCCGTTGATTATTCCATGGATATGGCCACCTGACGATAGGGATGCGGGATAGCTTGGTTGAAGAGGCCATTTTTTTACCCCGTGTTCAACCCTTGTACATATGGTTCCTGACCGTTGGAGGCAAATACTTAGGGATTTTGCACAACCGCTTTAATTTCATTCGTTCTCATCTATCCTGCAATCATCAATAACCTTCCTAGGACTGCCCAATTGTTTTCTTTGGTTTGCCGCTATACGAACCCAAAAGGTCGATGGTTTTTCCGTTTTTCCCTTTGGCATTTGTTATCCTTGGTTTCCCTTTAGTTTGCACTGCCCTTTTCCGGGTTGTGAAACAACTCCGTGGTTTTCTGGTCAACCCACCCCCCCCAAAAAAATAGAAAGATACTATCAGGGCCTTTTTGTTAATGGGTATTACAAGGTCCTAACAGGCACCAACTCCCCAAAGGCTTGCGCTTGTTCTTAGTTGGAAATCTGGCCATGGGCCTGTCAAGTATTCCCAATTCCCCAACAACATGCAACAACCGGCCCCTACGTCCACGATGTAAACACACATTTTTTGGGCCCATTTTGCAGGAACTCAATTGAAAGGCCGTTTCTTTGAGGGGGTCTTTTGCTTTGGACATTCCGCAAGTAAGGCACAAATTAAGTTGGTGGTTTGGATTGTTGGTTTGCGGATTCACTGTATGTAGCCCTGGTTTTTGTAATAAACCACTCCTTAGCCTCTAAACCGTGAATCCAAGAATTGGAGGGAAGCGGACTTCTTTTGGAGCCACCCCAAGCATGTCACACTCAACAATTGGGAGGACATACTTTCAGAATGGGGTTGTGTGGTACTTTATGCCATTTTAGGGCATGTTCAGAAGATAATGATGTATGGAAGCATTTGGCCCCGGTGCTATGTACACAAAGATTTACCCTTTGACCCGCCTCAGCAAGGCCTTAACCTCCTTCCGGACCAAAGCACGCCATGTACAACTCCAAACGGCAAAGAGTGATTCACATGTCCTTTTGCATCCGTTTCAGATGCTTAACTCTCCTGAATCTTGCCTCAATTCCCAAAAGCAAGCCATTCGTTCAACAGGTTTGGATTCATTCAAAAGTATCATCATTCAAGCCATGAAGGCATTCGGCGCAAGCCCAGCCCAACCTTTTGTCCTTGCAAAGCATTTTGCTCAACGGACACAACACCTGCGAAGGCAGAACTCTGTCGGGAGGAGCAAGTCTCTGACCCCGGGCCACCAAATTGTGCCAGTTTCTCCAGAAAACAATCAAATGTACCAGGACTTCCAGAACCTTCTGATTGAAATGGAGATAGAATAGATGGATTGGACCCATCTTGAGAGTTGCAGAAGTCTCAAGAAGCCAGGGACAACGAGGCTTCCTCCAGAACCACCAAGTGCGATACCTCCACTCGCAGTTCCAGGACCTCTCCAAGAAGCGCCCCTTTGATGTAACAACCAACGCAGCCGAAGTCGATGCTACAGCAGACAAGAACATCACGGACGCGCCAGACAGCAGACTCACGTCTCTGGAAGCGTCCAGGGCTCGCCGGGCAGCACTCCTCAAAGGACTGCTAGCATTTGGATTTAACAGATCGTTTCTGGGCAACAGCCCGCCTTTCTTCCTCCAGCAAGCCTCTATTCCAAAAGAAGCAGTAGGTTGCTATGCGCAACCACATGATGAGACACGGTCGATAACCTTACTTGTTACGCCTCCAACCTTCCGTTCATGCTAGACTTCATGTCTACTCCTCCCCACCCCGCCCAACCCAACCCGACCTGCAAGCCCAACCCACCCGAATTTGCAGGGTTGGGCGACTTGGTTGGGTTGGGTAGCTCAGGTCGGTTGGCTTGGTACCCACCCCTTCCCCCCAAGCTGAGCTGGCCGTGGGTCAAAATCCAAATCGTACGCCCAGTCAACATCCCAATCCCCACCAAAATAGACCCAAAATGGAAGTCCCCTAAAAAAAAGGATCCAATCACCTACCCCAAAATGGGCTGAGCTGTCAGGTGGTGAGCTCCCTGACCTTCGCCGCCTCCAGCTTCGTGGCCCGGGAGCTGCTGGGCTCCTGTGCTCGCCTGGCCAGGCACCGCTACGCCTGCCGCGCCGCGGCTTGAGGTAAGCCGTTCTTCTACTTGGCTCTTTGGGGTAAGCTTCCGAGTGGTTCTTCTTTTCCGCTTTTCCTAGTCTTCTGTTTGTGTTTGACATGTCTTGAGTTGAGGTGTCTGATTTTGTTTTGTTTAGCTGGATGGCTGGCTGGTTGGGTCGGTTGGCAACATCGACATGATGTTGGTGCTGTGTTTGGGTTCTTGTATCCTTACTTGTGTTGTATTTTTGCTGTGTTGTGTACATGTTGTTGGTTGTTCGGTTGGTTGGTTTGCTTAGTTTGTTTGTTTGATGGTTTGATTTGTTTGATTTGTTTTGCTGTTAGAATTACATTACATTTGTGTGATTCTTTTTTTGTGTGTGTGTGTGTGTGCGCCTTAGTTTTGCTTGTTCGCTTCTTTGTTTGTTTGCCCCTGCTCGGTTTTCCTTATATGTTGTTTCATTATTGTTTGATCGATGGATGTTTTTTGGAAGCGACGAGAACTACCACCGATGCAAGTTCTTGCCTTCCTCCTGCGTACCAACAGTTTGGGCCTTGTTTTGTGTTGACACTCTATTTAGCTTGCATTTTGTGGCCGCCAGTTTTTGTCTGTTTGTCTTGTTTGATTCTAGGAGGTGTTTTGATTTGTGTGTGTGTTTCCTGATTGCTTGCCAATTGAGTTTGCATTTGTTTTTTATTGTTGCTTATGTTGTTCTTCTTTTTGGGAGAGGGCCAACATATCTTTTGCTTGGCCTTAGTTTTTTTGAACAGAACACCTGATACGGGCCTTGTTTGTGCTTCTTGCGCCCGTCGCTCTCCTTTGCAAGGCCAGTCAAGCCAAAGCCGTCTAGTTTTAGCCAGGACAGATAACGGATCACATTTATCAATCCAGGATTGACTTGGGTTGCTAGGCAGGTCACTAGGCTAACTCATATTGGGAGTGAGCTTTCAAGGTGAGGGTTCAAACTTTGACTCATACGCACCCAGAAATTGAGAACCCCAGTTGGGGAGAGATCTTGTCAAGTCCCTGCAAAATGGCGGGCTCCCCACTTTTGGGCGTTTGGTTGCCTTGATCAACAAGGGAACTGTGCAGTGCATTTGTTTTTTTTTCATGGCTCGATTCTCCGCGTTTGTTCCAGTTCAGGGTTGTTTCCTCATTTGGAGCCAATTCCATAGGGACACTAGTCACTGCCCGAAATCTGTGCTCCAATAGTCCCCCCCCCCCGTTCTGTGATACTCTGCAGAAGAGTAACCAGGGGACCCAGTCAACGGGCTTAGCGGGTTCCGATCGCTTGCGCCAAAGGACAATCATGTGTACAACCTCCGCGAAGCACCCACTTGTCAGAACCCACCGCGGGTCACCCAAGAGTTCAACAGCACCTTTTGGTTGCTCACTTTTTGGTTTCGATTTGTAAGGCTTCTTTTTGGTGGGGGTTGATTCCACAGCCCAATCCCAGCCCCCCCCCCCTTGCACCCCCCAGCCCAGCCCAGGCATTTTCTGCCGCCTCTTGGAGTATCTTGGCATGGCCTGGCCTAGATTTGATTTGAGAGTTGGTAAGGTGCTGAAAATGACCTTGAGCAAAAGACCTTGAGCAGGTCCTAAAAGTCGGGGTGCCCCGGATATAGATTCATAACCTGTGCAACTGAGCCATAGAAGTGGTGACCCCAAGATTAGTTCAAATCTGGCAAATAACTGGCCCCTGATCAGTTTGAGTGAATCTATTTTTGACAATACCAACCCATCCTGCTCCAGAGCTGCGGCTTTTGTGGATTCAACCCAGGTGAATCGAACCACTTTCGAACTGAGGCAAGCCCGAAACAGTACCAGGAGAAGGCTGATTGCCAGGGTTAGCCACCAAGCACACAGCTCACTCCGTTGGGAAGATGAAGTGGGGATAGCCTCGTGAGGCGTCTTTGGGTCTCTCCTTGGGGTTTCCTTCGGAAAGTCCTGTGTCCAAACCAGAAGATTCCCACAGTGATGCCAGAGAAAGTGCACCTAAATGTTTTTGAGGGAAGGCGTGAAGATAGGGTCACAGGCATGGACAGGCAATATTGGGGACCTTCCACCAGATCTGAGGATTGGCGCTTTTCTTTTTCAACCTGAAATAAATTTCAGATTCCCGCAAGTGGAATCTGATTCCTCTTGGGATGCCAAACTTGTCCCGAGACAAGGCATCGTGGGCATAGGTCCCCAAATAAATGATGTCCAAAGGGCCATCTCCGTTCTCAATCAAGATTCGCACACACAAGCGAATTTGGGGCCAAGTGCCACCAAAGAGACTGCAAAATTTGAAAGGATCTGGGACTTGTGCTGATTGACGAGCTTCACGACCTGGATGTGAGCTGAGGTTCTGCGGTCAGCGTGACCTCACGCTCCAGCTCATCGATGAGCTTTTGGAGGAATGCGAGGCAAAACCGGGTTTGGGGAAACCAAAGCTGAGCCTTGTGAGGGCAAGACTCCAAGTTTAGTCAGGTGTTCTAAATGGTTTTGTGCTTCGTTTTTGCGGGAAGCCCACAAGGACATCAATGTCTGGGGGGAAATGTGCAAGTTTGGGCTGCCACTTTCTGTGATTCCCTTCGGGGAGTCATCTTCAAAATTACATTTCACGGTCATAGGAAATGACTCAACCCACTTTGTGCATTGGCAGAAGAGGGCCTTCGCATTTTCCACGATGCCTGTCCCAGTGCTTTTGTCCATGGGTCTTCCCGTGGCAAGCTTTCGACTGGCTTATGGGGTGCCACATTTTTCCTGGCAGAAGGGGAAGTGACGTGTAGAAAGGGACTCACAAACCATCAGCCAAGTGAAGCTGGAAAAGGAGCAAGCTACTAAGTGTTCCTTGCAGCCCCCCAAAACCCAAAGACTCTTTTTGGGCGTCGACCACCCCTGTTCGGTTGTTGGGAATCAACAGAATTGCGGTGCAAGTCAACAGAACATCTTGGTCCTGAGCAAAAGACCAAGCCACTTGGGAAATGCACAGTGAGGCGCAGTGTGTTTGGAAAGGTGGCTGGAGCAGCCACGACTACTTAGGGCCACTCTCCGCGATACTTCAAGGGAATGCCCTCTAAAGCGACATCCAATAGTCATATGTAATGAAACTTAAACACTCAGAAAGGGCTGACCGCTTTCCATGTGAAAATATTTCATTCCCAGCCGGCGCCGGATTCGACAGGACCTTTGCCGCCACAACTTCGGGCACCACGTGGTGCAGAGCGTGCTGGAGCACGGCCACGAGAGGCACCGCAAGGCGACGACCGAAGCTTTTTCTCGGCCCGGCTTCGGCCTCCCCGGTTTGGAGGGGGGGGGGGGACTTAAGAAGGTCCAGGGAGCATCACCCATAGAACATGGCACTTGCTTTTGAAGGCAAAACCACACGAGAGACCAAGGGTTCGAAAATCACCCACACGGGAGCCGAGTCCCCCATTTCAATTTCCACCCATCCAACTGGGTGTCATTTTCTGAGAGCACGCCTTGAAGTGAAGCCACAAGGAAAGTCATGACTTTTCCGGGGTACCCCTATTTTGGCTTTTTCTCTAGGTCTGGCTAGGTCTGGGTTAGGTTTCGGCAGGTGGTGGCGGATGTTCTGAAGTCTGACCTGCTCAGCTTCGCCAAGCACCGGAACGCCAGCTATTTGGTGGAGAAGGCTTTGACCTATTGCGCGCCCCAGGAGCGCGGGGACCGGGGGAGGGGGGGTGGGAGGTATTCCCAGGTTCACATTCACCTCTGCAAAAGGGGGGTAGTTGACAGGTGACCGGCAGAAGGGGAACGGTTGGCGTATAGGTGTGTTGTTTTTGGTTTGGAGTAGTTTTCTTGTGGGTTTGACTGGAGGTGACACCTTTCCTAAAGGGAAGCCGACAAACCAGTTTGGAGCATTCACCTGATATGACAGACTCAGTGAGGCAGGGCCAGTGAATCACAGCACGGCAAATTATGCCACATGTGCCACAATAAAAGTTTTGTTATGTGCTTTGGGGGTTGGCTTCTGCTACGGGGACTATAGCCATCACTCCCACGAGGAGTTTTGCCAGGGGCGATTCCGGAAATGTACCCTTCAGATTCAAACTTGAGTGTAAGATCTCCCCGCCTTGGATCGCAACATGTGTTTGTCTCAGAGTTCGGGTTCCCAAAATCGGTTGGCTCCCTTTTGGCCATAAAGTCATCAAATGAGGACCAGCAATGCTTAAAACTGGGAAACGGGTAGTTTCGCATTGGTTTCGTTCGACCAACCCGACGGGGGGGCTAACCAAAAGACCAAGTCCGCATGTTCGGCCAGGAGTAGGTGGATAGCCACCTGGGTTCTAGCTCACTAATAACAGGGTTAGCTCCACTGAACGCTTATAAGTGGGTTATACCCGAACGGCTACCGTTACAACTTACGCACTTGGCGAATTTGGACCTGAACCCTCCCTATCAACCGGAGCCTCCTGAAACCCGTCATCCGTGCCGTGGATGGTTGCGAAATCCATTTCGCACCACCTTTCAGAAACCCAACGGAATGATGCGATTCCCCAACGTAAATACCAACAAGCCTTATGGTTTCCTTCCCATGGTGTCATTTCGTTGGTGCGAAATGGATGACCTGTCCATCCAACTCGGGCTGCCTAGAGGATCAACACGCCTTGCTGGCGCAGCTGGGCCGCACGGAGGTCATCGTAGACCTGGCGCGGTCCCAATTCGGGTGCTACGTGGCCAAGAGCCTCTTGCAGGATTCGCGCGTCGAGCGCGTCAAGGTCGAGGGCATAAATTGCCTCGGAAGGGGTTGGTCTGAATATATTTGCATCTTTCTTTTCTTGCGCTTATGGGATACTCTCAAAATGGAAGCCTTCTTTTTACATGGTTGGTTTCCGTTTGGTGGTTCCCTTAAAAGCAAACCCCACCCCACAGGCTTCATGTCTGGAACATGTACCAACTGCCGTTCTTGGCACACCTGCATGGAGTGTTTGGGTCTTGTTCACTTAAACATCATGCTTATCAGGTTCTGCTCAGCCACAAGAAGGATCTTGGGGCTGTTGCTTACGATAGAAGAGTTGATTCCAACCATTGTTCCACTCTCTACGATGGGAAGTTGTCACTGGATGATTGAACTGGTAAAGGACAGAACCGCTGAGCGAGGAGTGTGGGGTCGACCACCGAAAGCGCCGGTCACTGGGAAAGCCCGGTACGTCCAATTTGCTAAAGACATTCTTCGCTTCCCCTGTTGGTGCAAAGGGACATGGTCATGAGTGAACGATTTGCTGTTTAGTGGCGCCTTCAACCCAATGGCGTTTAGGAAACAAATGACTGCTTGACCCAGAGGCTTGGCCTTTGAAGGAGCGCCTTTGGCTCGCATTTGGCGCGCAGGACGAGCGAGTGACGGGCAAAGAAGCGCTTTTCAGGATTCAGGTGCGCGGGGCTTGTTGGATCTCAAGATCTTGGGAGAACAACGAGCTTTGCATCCCTGAAATGATGTAAGCCCAAGCTTCCCCAGGGTTTGCCCCAGGATTCCTTAGCGGCGCATGCAAGTCCCTCCTTTGTTTTTGGGGCCTTGCCATGAAGAACGTGAAAATGACAAGGGTTATTTTGACATTTGTTCCTTTCATGAACCGCTTAAAAGTGGCAATGGATGCTTCCAAAGTAGCAAATGCACAACCTGCCTTGCACAAGCGGGTTGGACAGTTGGACCATGTCTTGTGTATAACGAGTCACACCGGCCAAAGCCTTTGCTAGGTGTAGGGGCCACCTCAGGCGCCCCCCTTGCACGATAGGGTTCCTTTTGGAAGGAGCCCAGGTGTTGCACAAGGACGAGCCTTCGAGCGCTTGCCTGTTGATCCCAGGTCTTTTTGTCAGTGGGATGGCATAGGGACATAGGATCCCAGCCTAACCAGAGTCTTGGATGTTTGAGGGTGATGAGGGGAAGGGGGGTGGGTTGCGATGATGTCTCTAGATTCAAAGAAGGGACCCCCAACCTTTTCCATTCGTCAGGGGCTGCCCACCCATCCTCAGTCGCTGTGCTGCCTTATACAACATACTATATATATATATACATAACTACATATAGTCACCCCTCCCCCCTTTCGAGGATTGTAAGAACATTTTATCTGATTTTTCGAGTATGTCTTTGTTTGACAACACCGGTTTTTGTTTTTGTTTGTGTACACATAGACGGCGCAAAACACATCGGACAAACAATGATTTTTGCAGCTTGGAGCCCTGAAACCTGCACAAGCCCCAAAAACAAGAAGCAGAAACTCCAGCCCAAATCCCGAGAGTCTGGGAACATTGGCATTGTTGTTTTGTTTCTTTTGGGCTTTTGCATGTTTTGGAGTTGGATGTATGCATGTTGTGCTGCGTGTTTTCTTTTCCTTTGGTGGGGAAGCGTTGACACATCGAATCCGGGGACCTACTTTCCTCGTGCCTGTTGTGGTACCTTAGATATGGGTGTGTTTTTGCTTGGGACTTGGACCCCCCAAAATGGGTGTTTCCCTTTAAAACCAACCAACACGGGGGCACCCTCAAAGAAAAACAACCGCTATCGCTGAATACAGAGTTGCCAAATGACAACAATATGATGCAGCACCATTGGGACCAGCTGGACATGTTGGAAGCAACGCCCGCAGGCCTCGTCCAACGATTTCCAGAGGACTGGGGCAGCACAGATGGCAAAGGAAGCGCTATCAATTTGCCCGGAGCCGACTTACCAGAGCCACATATGTTTGAGGGTGGTCTTCCTGTAAACCAGAGATCAATGGACCCAGTACCACCAAGAACTGAACCTCTCATGGCGAAGGCATTTGGCCTTGGAGTGTCCTGAGGCATTGGTGTTTTGATTGGGCTTAACGCTGGAGATCTGGGAAGTGTTGAGGCCTGGGCAAGGCTTACAGATCTCATGATTCCCTCCTGTCCTTGTCCCGTGGTTTGGTTGGCATATCCGGCATGCCATTTACCACGGTCTTGCGGCCCAAGGGCCTCGCGAAACAAGTTGCCATAGTTGCCAAAGGCCTTCGCAGCCCCTCAAGGACCTTTAGCAAAGCGCGAAGGGCATCGGGTCCCTTAACACCAGGGTTGGACAACATGTTCCAACGGGCACCCGGTCCGCTGGACGGGAACCGCAAAGGCAGCTTCACCCAATAGTTGAAACAGGGCCAAAGGCCAGTAGAAAAGAAATCTAAGGTTTTTCCAGACGCTTGGACCACAGGACTCGCCACGGTCAGCGCTTGCTGGTGGAGATGGGCTTGGCAGAGGACCGAGAGTAGAGCCTGGCAGTATGCGCCCTGGATAGGCTTGAGTTTTAAAGGAAGACCACAAGGAAACATTCTACTTGGAGGAAACGACTCGCTTTTATGATACAGCTTCTTGCCCTTCCATTCCAACTGAAAACAGGGAAGCGCTACATGACCCCAATTGGAGTTCACCCTCTAAGCGGCGCTGGGGTATGAACCATAAGGTGTCCCTGACGCTTGTCTCATCCGTCCAAAATAGGGGCCCAAAAATAGTAGTGGCACCAGGCCTCAACAAAATCCTACACGCACTTTTTGCGGTTGCTAACCAACCAGGGTCCCCTTCGCCTTCGCCTGAATCCGCATCTTGTAATTTGAATTAAACGGGTGCACCCCAACACAAGCACCGATTACTGGCAATATATGTCTATCGACAATCCCCCCAGCCCAATAACTGAAGACAACTGGCAGTGCTGTCCGTTGCCTCTGCAAGTGTTGGTTGGGAAGGCACCGTCTCTTCTAGGCCTCATTTGCCTTCATTTGGCTTGAAGTGGGCTTAAGCCAAAACACGTCATGCAGTTGCTTACACTCACCCCACTGGTGGTACCCAAATGTAGGCAAATAGAAACTTAAAAAAAACAAAACAAAAAAACAACACATGTGGAGAGAATCTCCTTGTCCGTACCCCGGATGGGTTTCCATGTTGTGTTGACCTTTGGGAGAGAAATGTAACCCCAGGGTGACACAGAAGAGGTCCGGGGCGTCCCACGTTAGAGTCAAGCTTTAGACATGATTTAGTTGGCGCTGGTTGGCAACTTGTCTTGTCTTCATAAGGCTTGCTGAGCCTCAAATTGTTGGGAGGGTCCGGGATGCTTGGCACCTAGTTGATAACCCACTGTTAAATGCCTCAATTGGCGATAGCCATGTAGGCCATGGGAACTAATTACTCACCATCTGGGGCAAGCCTGCCGTGCGAGGGGGCCCTTTGAACCCGGCGCGTTGGATTCCAGCGCAAGTTTGTATTCCCAAATCCGAAAGGCCCAGGAGATGTCTCTTATATTACCCTCACATTGGTGAGCTCGCGAACACGTCCCAGTGCAGACCTGTATCATACATGGCAACCTATAAGCCAAACAACACGGCTGAGATGTGCTCGATCGTGGCCCTCTTGCAACCTGCTTGTAACCCGCGCACACACACAGTTTGTTGGTTGTTCAAGGTTTAGGGAAATGCAGGGACTCCCTGAAGAGGGTTTCCAAGCACTTTGAAGGTGTCTTATAGGGGCATCGGCGTGCTTAGTCACCCCGAAGTTACAAGCCACTTGGCCACTTGCGAGTCCCTTAGATTCCCGACCCCGCCGAGTACCCTTGGCTAATGAATACAGACTACTCTTTAAATACCTGTTCGGCCGGCTCTTTCAAAGGGCCCCTTCGAGCCCTTTCCGGGCTTTTTTTCTTGCGCTGGGCAAGTGAGACGCCTCAGATAGGCACATGCCCACATGGCATTTGGAGAAGGCTGCTTGCCAGAAGAAAGCACTCCATTAGGGAAGGAAAGCGGGCTTGACAGACGTGAGCGTCAAGTTGGGAGTCTATGCTGGGCTGCCCCCCCTCCGCCTACCTTTAAAGTCAAATAAGAGTCGCGTAGTAACATATAGGCTTGAGCAGTTGGGGTTGCTTGCGGCGCTGTTATTTTGGTTGCGCCAGAAGAGCTTTTGCAGAGACCACGCGCTGAGGCGACTGCAGACTGACTCTTCCAGCACTAGAGGCATGATTTGCACCTTCTGCAACATGACAGATGGACACTCATTATGCCTCCGGTTTTAAGCAGAATGGCAGGAATTGGTTGCATGGAGTTTTCTCACGCCACACCGCGGAGTTTTCACCTCAAAAAGGTGGTGTTGCACAGTTTGTTTGCGCCACTCCTCTTTCAAGGCCGGCATGCTTCCGGGCTTGAGGTTATTTATTGCCGGTCTGGCCTTAATTTCCGAACTTCGGCGCACAGAAGCCTGGAAGCACGCTTCCGCCGGTGGCATTTTGAGGAACGCCGTAAGCCGAGGTTGCAAAGGAATTGTCGTTAACGCAAACTAACTAACCCTTGACTGTTCTTGCAAGTTTTTTGTTTTGGTTGTTTTTGGTGGTTCTGTTCATTTTTAGTAGGGGGCTGCAAAAACACGTTCTTGTTTGCAACAATACCAAGGATTTTGAAATTTTGAAGTAACCCTTGGCTGTGGGAGCGGATTTGGGTAGGCTGTAGTGAATAAGGAAACCTGGTCAACTGCGACAGCCGTGAAGGTTCCTTGCACACGGACCCCCCGACTTTGGGTTGGTGAGGTATATTTGCTTGTGTGTGCGCGTGTGTCATGTTTCCTGCATACCCTGCGATTTGTAAGAAGAAGAACCAGCCGACGCACAAAAGCAACATGGGTTCACTGAGCCATACGGGTGTGTCTTTTTTGAGCGTGCCCACAAAATGGTGGGCGTCCTTTTGGTTTCCCTTTAATGCCAACTAACAAGGGGTACCAAACAAAGACAGAGCCATGCACTTGACCTTTGAAGAGCCCTCAACCATTCACCACATCTTGGTCACATTGCTCACGGCGCTTCCTCGTCGGCTTGCGAACTGGAGCCCGGCTGATGGCTCATGGGAGCACCTGGCATCAACTGTACAGAGCAAGCCTCGACAAAACCGTCCCTTTCCCGTGGCGCGGGCACGAGTGACGAAAAGAGAAAGGGGAGGTTTGTCTCAAAATGGGGAGTCCCAAACCCCAGATGCGAGGTTGCAACTGTTGGTTTCCCTTGCAAGTCTAGGACACCGCCGTGTAATCTACAGATTTCAGTGGATGCCCTCCTGAGCAAAGAACTGGGAACCCCCAGCCTTTAGTTTTGTTCTGGACATCCAGAGCTGACCAGTTTTGCTTCTATGCCGGTGTGCAGGTCTATGAATACAGCTGCAGATGGATGTGGGTGTGTCTTTTTTTCAGGGTGCCCTCTTTTTGGTTCTTCTAAAGGCAAACCAAGAGGACACCCACCATTTTGGGGGGTCCAACCTTAAACAAGGAGAACACCCATTCCCCCTATTTGGGTTGCACTCCAGAGTTGTCAGATCTGCTTTCATTGGTGCCGCGCCAGAGGAATCCGATGGCTGACAGCCAACAGTCTGCATCTCGCTGCTAGCGGAACGAGATTGCGCCGGGTCGGCGCCGGCAGATGGGCATTCGGCCCAAGTGAAATCTTGGGTCGCCCGATGGATGCCCTTGCATTCGGATAGTGTTAGAGAAGCCAATGTGCGCAGAGCCCCGTTTGTTTCAAGGGTGTTCCTATTACATCGTGGATTACGCCTTCTGGGAAATCACTCTCTTCTAGCCTATTTCCAGATAAAGCTTGGTTATTTAGGTTTATTTGATCGTTGGTGCTCAGTATCCAGGGTGTTGGGGGAATGAAGCGGTCCCCTTAAAGGAAACCATAGGGGATGGTTTTTCTCAGGGTCGTTCCCTCATTCCCTGGTGAGAAGCAGCAAGAACAATGGTTGATGGAAGCAAACATCCGAGCGTGCTATAACCACCAAAGGGTCCCGTGACGAGCATCTCAAAGACGGAAGGGCATCGGCACTTGTTTATTCCCTGTGTTAGGCCATTGTGTTGCCTTGCGCATGCTGTCAAGATTCACGTTTCTTTGTATGTTCCTCGGCGGGGGAAGCAGATCTGGAGGGGGCCAAGCCAGTTCTTATAGCACATGTCAGAGCTAGCTCGGCAGGCATAAAAGCGCAGCTCGATTGCACACTCTGTAGGTACTTTTTGGGGAGTATTCGCACAAACCATGAGCTCTCCCTGAAAAGTGAAGGAGCTCCCTAATTGTGTTTCTATTTTGGTTTCTTTCAAGTTACATTCAACTAGGTCCCTTCAAACCACATTCAAAAGACACAGTAATCAGTGCATGCTTCCAACACTCAGTTCTGCCGGCATCTCTTCTGCAAGTTGCGGCCCCGAATTAGCTCGGGCCAAGACATGTCCGACGCCTTTGATCGTTGTCGGTCGTCGCTCAAGGATTCAGTTCTTGGACGAACTGACACGGACATGAGACAGTTTCGAGAGCTAGGGTTGGACGTCCGTCGTTGCAAGACATGGAGCTTTGTGACAGCTGACCTGTACGGAACCGCTATGTGTAGTGGCATATTTCTGCTAAGATAGTGCTTGTGGTGCCTTTTCTTTGCTCGACGGGCAACAAAGCCCAGCCTCTGTTGCAACTTTTTGAGGCTCCTCTGTCAAGAGGACGGAGCTGTGCGAAAGGCTGTGCAATGTAAAATTTTTGTCCTGGCCCCCTCCCGCAACACATCCCGACTGCTTGACTTTCGAACCTGAGACATTTCGAGTTGGGCGTTTAGCCCGATCTCGCGTCATGGTTTTGTGTTTTGCCTGCCCATGGGGACGGAGTGAGTCGGGGGATGTGACTTGGGACGGCCCAAGAGGCCGAGATCCATCGAGGGGCCATGCAAACCTGGGGCCCGCGAAGGCTGGTCGCCCAGCGTCCTTTTGATCCGTCAATCCCTTGCGGCCAAAGGCTGCGTATCTTCGGTCTGCCCCAGGCGTCGAAAAAATGTCGTTGCGCGCCGTTCGGCGCACCGGCTTCCAGGCGCTGCGCCCCTGTTCCCAACACATACATAATATTTGTACATATATATATATATATGCATATATATATATATATATAGACTACAAGTCCAACAGTATGTGTGTATAGATATGCATTAAAAAAAACACTGCAAGTGAGCCAGCCACGCACCATGATGCAGTACAGAAGTGATTTGACTTTCGGAGCCAACTGCAGCTTAGCGTGGCTTGCAACAGTGGCAGCGGCCGGTCCATTCTTAGTCAAATGCTTACCAAAAGGTTAACTTCCATTTGTTTAGCAATATTTGATATTTTCCCTCTTTTTTGGTTTAATGGGAATTTATCACTTCTGGACATATTAGTATTTATTCCAGGGGGCTTAAGTTAAGACTCTGTTTAGGTTCTGTCCCCCCAATGGGGCGAGAGCAAAAAAGCAACCGTGTGTCCACCCATATTTCATGAGGGGGTGGCAAGAATCTTGTGATTACGAACGCGGCTATGGCCTAAGACCTGGCTGTCTTGCGGCTTAGGAAGACCACACGCCAGGTTCGGGGTGGTTTGGATTCCTCCGAATCCAAAATTGACCATTGACGTTCGGGATAGTTCCCTTGCCATTCCTTGCCATTCGGTGCAGAGACTCGTCTCATTCTTTGCCTGTGGGTACAATCCCTTGGACTTAGATTGTGACTCAACACCACATCCTTTGCCAGGACTTGTCGACCGACGAAATGCCAAAGAGCAAATGTCTGGGCATACTTTGGCGAACTCACCATGGGACCTCAGCCATGTTAAGTTTTCTTTGTTGGGGTGTCTTATTTCAGGTTTGTAAGTCAGCACAATTCGCCTACTTTGATTTAGTAATCAACCCTTTGGTAGGGGAATCGACACAACGGGTTGTGGCCATGAAGGGAGCCACGACCGTGCCCGGAGTTTTGATCAGAGCATGACTCACACACACACATTGCTCTGCTATCGTGAGATTTGGCTCAATAGTACTTTCTGCAACCCTAAACCCGAATGATTGAAGCCCTTATTGTAGATTGGTTTGTATGTTGCCGTCTCGGCTCGAGTCTGCCTTATTTTCCCTCCACGCTACCCCATGGGCGCGGGGCCCGGAAACTGGGCCCAGGAGATAGCACACTGCCCGGTGTAGCCCTTGACAACCCACTTTTCGGATAGGATGAACAACCACCTCTGGCCGATGAATTTGCTTGTGCCAAGGGAATGGCCCGGATGTTTTTCAACCAAGCCATGGAGGATGGTTTATAAGGATCATTCGCTCATTCCCTGCTGAGAACCTAGCCTTCCAAACTGAAGCCACAAGCTAGAACAAGCGGCACCTGGCTTTATAAAGGTCACAAGGCCTACATGAAGTATATAAACCTTTATAACCATGTGGGTAGACAGGTCAACCTCACTCCCTAAGTTCCTGGACATTCAAGCCATTTTGGTGGACAACAAAACGTTGGACTTTTTGTTGGCCCATCCGCTCGGAAAGTGAGAGCCAATATACACCTGTATAACCATGTGGGTAGAATCAAACGTCAATGTGTTGAACTCTCAGTTCAGCTATGATCGGAGGTTGTCCCAAGGCCAAGGCGTTGAGAGTCGGGAATGGCAGAATCCACTTTCCGAACGATCCGCTGCAATTGGAACAGTGCGAAGGCCACAGGCCAAGTGAAACCTGCGGTTGGGAATGGCCTTGGGAGTTTGAGAGGGTCTGTTGTCAGGAAACCACAGAGGAGTACGCTCACCAAAGTATCCGGAATGGGTCACAGAACCCCAGCTCCCTTGGCTTTTTCTTGAAGTGCGGGTTTTTGCCGCACTTGGCTAGTGGCGAATATCCCGAGCTAACAAGTCTCCTAAGTGTGCTATTGGGTTTGTCTCAAATACGGGAACCCCAAAATGATTTGTTCTTTTTTAGTTTTCCTTTAAAACCAACCCTACAAAAAGACTTACAACTTGGTTCGCACTTTTGACCACTAGCGGTCACCCTTTTTTCACGGTCCATTTCGGGATTTGTGCATGGTCTCAAGACCCATTTCCTGTAGGTGGTTGGGGGAGGTTGATTTTGGCTTCGGATGAATTCGAAGGACAGTACACCCCCAAAATGATAGTCTCCTTCGACTGGAACAAGCTTGATTTAGTACAATCCTCCTGATAATTCCAAGTGAACCACAAACTGCCAGAAGACATATTGCCATCGCCCAGCTTCACTGGCTATTGCACAGAACCACCTCACTGGCTCACCCGAGTTTTGCACAGACTCGAGGCAGCGGGGCACGTGAGGCCGCGCCGATCACGTCGGCGCGCGGGCGCGGGGCCCTGCTTTCGCCCGGACACTCCAAAGACACCAGGGTGGCCGAAGGAAGGCCCTCTGTGTCTGTGCCCTACACCGCATTTTCTGGGGCGTATCTTTTGTCAGGTTGGAGCAAAAAGGGAAATCAAGAGTGTTCCAAGCCAATTTTGGGGACCCCTTCATTTTCCAGGGAGTCCTTATCCATTGGAGGTCGGCCGGGTGGTAGCACCTCAGAAACTTCAGGGCGCCCGGGCTGGGCTGGCAGAGTCGATTTGTCGGGAACTGGAAGAAATTGAGCAACTTGCGATTCCGTGGCCAAAATTGTTTCAGTTGAGCTCATTTGGATTGGCCGAACCACTGGGAACGAGTTCCCAGGAAGAGAGTTGATTCTTGGTTGATTTGGCCCCCCGAATATTGATTAGGCTTGGGCAGAACACAGCAGGGCCCAGCCCGGCAAGTTGTCAGTGAGAGTGGGGGAGACCTGGTGGATTTTCCATGTTCCATTCGGGGAAAAGAGCTCACCCCATGTGTCCCTTTTCCCGGGCGGGTAATTGAATTATAGTATAGTCACTGCATGTTAGTGCAGATGTTAGTGGGAAGAAGCAAATTTCGCAGTTTGAGCACGAGTTGTCAACATATCAAGGGTGGAACATGAAACCAGGGTTCCAAAAGTGGGCGAAGCCTATTTCTGACAACCCCGTCCGTGCATGAGTTGTTCATTTTTAGTTGGCCTCACAGGGCCATTTTCCGGAGACGCAAATCGATCGAGGCGTCTTAGAGGCGATGGAAGATGAGCAAGAGGAGGAGCCTCCCTATGAGGATCCTGGCCAGCAGGCCGAAAACGATTGCGGTTTCGAAACCGGGGCAAGGCTTACACACATTTTTAGCCGCAGTTAAGGACTTGTGGGTAGAATTAACAAGCCTCGTACTCTTTGGGAGTGAGTTGATTTTTCAGCACGCTGTCGTGTGGCTCAAGTTTCAAGGGTTCCTTAAACTTGATTGTATTGATGAACTTTTAACACGTCGGGGATGTTTGCAATGAGCTTTGTCAAGGTTCAACCCGGCAGCTCAATGCACCCCGCAACGTAACCTTTTGTGTGGGTGGGTTTCTTATTTTCAAACCGACACCCAAACGGAGGCTGGGGCATACACGCCCTGGTCCTTGCAGGTAGCACATGTGCTCTCTTTCGTGTCAGAAGCGGTGTGAAGCAGGGTTTAACTTCTTGAGCCGCAGGGGGACCCCTCTCCCCAAAGACCCTCAACCGTTGAGGCCTTATTGGGCCTTAATTTTACCTGAGTACTGCTTAAAGCTCCTTGCGTTGCATGGGGCTCCTTGGGGGGGGGCGTATAGGGGTCTGTTTGGCAAGCTCAGGAATGGTGGGAAGCCAAAGTGAGTTTCAATTGAATGGGGTCTCAGGGTCAGGTTTGATGGGTGTTTGAGGGGCATCAAGGTGAATCCCACATTGTGAGACCTCCGACTTCCGCAGGCTCTTGGGGTTATTGAAGTCAGAGGGGTGGTATTTCCCTTTGATGTGGCTGGACGAAATCCTGCCAGTTGCAAAGACTAACACGTTCCTATGAATGCTGGGATGAACCGCCTAACTGGTGCGAAGTGGAATTTGTCGATCCACATGAGGAGGGTTGATAAGAATGGCGGCTGGTCTGTCGAAACGCGTAGCATTGGGGGCCAACCATTTGCAGTCTCCTATGAGAATGTCTGCATCTGGATGTGAACTCCTGGTACACCCCCGGAACACCAACCCACCAATCCAAGGCACCAGCTCCTTTTGGTTTCCCTTATTTCAACCAAGAGGTCCACCAGTTTGAGAAGGAAAAAGGGAGCAAAAGCAGGCGCCACTTTGAAATGGAACCAGCAACCACGCTGCCAGGTAGCCACTGCGGGCAACTCCTTTGTCCATGCGTTGGCCGACGTGGGCGACCCCGGACTCGGGCGACCCAAATTTACCTCGGGGGGAACCCTACCAACACCTGGCAAAATTTGAGGTTGACCCAAATGGGTTTGTCTCAAAATAGGGCCACGCCTCATGGATGGGACGTCACTTTGGCGTTGCGGGTCCTTTCGAAAGGAGTGATGTCACCGTGGAAATGGTCGGGGTGCAGCGAAGACCTGCAGCCTCAGAAAAGAAATCACCCAACACAAAATACCCCGCTCAAAAAACGAAGAAGGAATCGTTCCACAAAAGCGAAAGGGGATGGGGGGAAAACAAAGGGGAATGGCTCAAGAGTAAAAGGGGGGATGGTTCCAGCAAAAGTGAAGAAACTTGAAGAAACAAAGGGGGATGATTTCCATTGGCTTTGTGGGCCGGATCCCGCTTCCGGCTGAGGTTCTGACACACCTGTCCTCGCTGAGACCACCCGCGACAGGGCAGCGTGTGCCGGGCCGAGAGGACATGGCTACGTCTAAGTGGAGTTTTTGATATCCCGAGTTCGTTCACCTAAAGGGTCACCTAAAGGCCCTGAGGGGACTAAGCTTGGGGTATGAAGCTTCCACTTGAATGGGGATGCAAGTCAAGGGGCTCCTAATACTTGAAGGCCTCAGGGTGTAGGGTTTGGGGGAGGCGAGCTAGTGGCACAAAGGCTCGAGTTCTGTTGGGGCGAGTCGGAAACATGGGGCTAGGCCCTACCTAGCCATTTGCCAAAAGCACCCTGCTCCAAATACTATATAGTTTGTTTGTCGTTTCATGCAAGGCAAGTGCCCTCTTCCCATTTGTGGCCCGGTTTTCCTGAGAGGATCAGGATGACGCATCTTGGCGAACAGAAGATGCAGCCGAAAGCGATCTATTTCCACCAAGAGCCTAATGTACGAAGCGCCATTCACTCCAAAGAGATTCAGAAGCCGCAAGATTGGTCCCAAAGCCACGCCCAAGCCTGGGGCTGGATCCTTGGTTGCTAGATGTTTTCGAGATTTCGACCCCTGGCAAGCCTCGGAATCGAACCTTGGACAGTGTTTGGACTTATCCGAAGAAAAGGGCCAAACGTGGCTTAAACCGGCTGGATTCCCTGCATTTTGAGGGCTTGGCTGTTGCTTTGTGCTTTTCAGCGCGACACCTTTTTCGATGTAACCAGGGGAATCGAAGCGCTTTTTGGAGGTCACGAAGTTCCACTCCGTGCGGCCTCCGCTGTTGCCAATTCGCGATTATCTCTTCAGGAGCGGATCGGATGGACCGTAGTATGGAAGGGCCGAGTTGCTTCCCTCGGTTTGTTTTGAACATTACCTTCTGGTGCAAACACCACCTTTTTTCTGGTTGCCAAGATTCCTCGGAGGGATGTTTTGGCGAGGGGATCTGGGAAGAAATTTCGCCGCGTACGACACACACCCATTGTCCAGACATCTTAAATGAAGCCGCTCGAGTAGGTGTCTTTCGGCGGATGGACTCTTTCTCGTAGCTTTGGATACACAAAGATCCTTATGTACAGAACCCCGCTTTGTTTGATGGATCACGTTTCCTAGTGATCACATAGAGGCTTGCGTTCATCATGTGCTGGCAAATGGTTCATTTGTCCGGCTGAATTATAGCGACCTCAAAAAGAGGGCTTGGTACTTGGTCCTCCCCATAAGGAAGAAACCTTGCTTGAGACTCCTCAATTTCAGCCTTGATTTTGTATAGTTTACCCATGCTTTACTGAAATAGCACTTTTCTGGAAGCCGGAACGGGATGGTCTTTTTCATAACAGACATCTCAGCACAGGTGGTGTGTGTTCCATTGCCCTTCTTTCGCCTGGTGCTCTTTTGCTCAGCGGAGAAGCGCTCGCATGTGCAAGCGGTGCAGGATCGCCAAGTATTTTCAGTGCAGCCGAGAATGCTTTGTGCGCCTTGGCGACGCAGCAATCAATTCGATCAACGGTCAATATTCTCCATCTGCTGTACAAAAGGTACGGTATGGGGTATACAGGGGTGAAACCTCAGTTGGGACACCCGAACATCGACCGTGCCTCTTTTGTGAAAAGCCTTCGGGTATTGCCAGAACATGAGCAGGACGACCGGTTTTAGAGGTAAGCTATCACCAGGAACCCTACCTACCTCCTTTGAAAGACAACTCCAAGGGTCAGCGGTGAATAAGCCTTATTCAAGCCAAACTTGCGGCTGACTAGGCCTCGACTGCTTGGTCCAGGGTCTTGCATGAATGGACAATTTGACCCATTTTAACTATATGAGGTTCGGTCAACATTTGAGGAGTTTCGATGGTCAGTTTTGGCAGAGGTCTTTTTTTGAGCACACCTTCTTGCGGTGTTTGCAACGGGAAGTCAAAGGAAAACCCGTTGGTTTTGTTGGCTTCCCAGTTTTGAGACAATGCCATTTTCGGGTTCCAGGATGTGGAGGGAATTCACGGTTGAAGGGACAGTACAGAGGGGAACTCTCCGAATTCCCATATCCATTAGGTCAAGCGTGTAGCATATTTGACGGCTGCAGGTTGGAGAGGATCAAAGACTTGTGACCTCAAAGAACGAAAGGTAATTTGTTTCTGGGGTCTCCAAACAAATCTCCGATAGGGTCTAGATATGGAACAGGCAGAGTCAGATGTATTTTTTGTAGCCCCAGATGGCCAAGTTTTGGGAGAACCGACCCGCCTTTGATGTTGGCTGGATGTCAACCACGCTTTGGATCGATCTTGCCTCGTTCCGAACCCATGGGTTTCTTTTTCAAGTAGGTTTCCCCTGAATAAGCTACAAAAGGAGTGTCTTGTTTGAGGTACTCTTTTTGGTTGCTTTCAAAGGAATCTGAAAGGAACTCACGCAAAGAGTGGGTTCCATTTCCCCGCTGGAGACGGCCAGGAGGGTTCAGGCCGTGTTTGGAGTCAGAGTTTGGCGCGAGGCTGTGCCTGGTGTACATTGACAGAATCGTGAAGCTGCACCCAGACTTCACGATTTGCAGCCTGAATATCCACAGGCGCGCCGGCCCTCTCGGGGTGTCGGTCGGGTTTCCTTCTTGTTGAACAGTTTGGGATTGCGACTGTTTTGGGGCGAACAGTGGGCTGATGGTTTGGGGGCAGTACGGACAACTGCAGTACTGGGGTCGCTTGACGATTTCCCTACCGGCAAGCTGAGTGACCCCCGCGCAACGGCATGAAGCGAGCTATGCCGGTAGAAGATTGGGGTGTTTGGTCGGCACTTTGTGTACCCTTGGGGGATATCGCCAGTTGCTCAGTGGATCCCTATTCTGCTTTCAAGCATCTTGTCTGGTTATGTTGTCTTTCGGGGCGTTTTCACTTGAGACTGTCTTTCCAGTCTGCGCTAGAATGTATGCCCCCCCTCCCCTTCAGAAAAGCAGGGCTCCTTTGGAGGTATCCTGGTCTCCAAAGACCCCTTTTTTCGCCAGGCTGCTGGTGACCAGCGTGATGCTGGCGGTGAAATTCTTCGATGATGTATATTACAGCAATGCCTACTATGCAAAGGCGGGCATCCACTTCCTGGCTTTCGGTTGAGCGATTTTTACGGCGGCAAGCTAAATGTCACCGGGGGATCAGCATGGGTTGCTTTAACCGAGATGGAGGTATGGAATCCTCGAGGAGGTTCTTCGAAGTTCCTTTCGCTTTAAGCTCGCGGACCAAAGTACTGCCCATTTTGGAAGCCCCTCCCTTGATTGCGTGAGAACGGGAGGGCGGGTGCAATCTTGCGACCTGCATGTCATGTTTCAAGTACGTGGAGTATGTGTGTGTGCTTGTCCGAAGTTCTTTGCCGTGAAGTTCGTGCTGCTTTGGCATGTTGAGCGCCTGGTAGCCATCATGTTCTTGCTGAAGTAGCCACCTGCACCTGGACGATTGACGCTGATAACTCTGTCTTGTTGAGGTCAAGAGCCGATGCGCACAGGAGCGTTGAGGGGCGTGTTTTGTTGACCACTTGGAGGCGATGTAGGCTTTCAGCAAACGTGCCCAACTGCCTGGTCCAAATTCTCCAGTTTCTTGCTGGTTGTTCAGGTTAACAAGGTATGAACTAAGGAACGCGAGTCTGGGCTTTTGACATTATCAGTGCTTTGTGGTTCTTATCTTGGGAAGAGTGGAACTGGCCAACATGTTGACTGTTTCTCAGGTTACCCAGGTGAGACACTGGGCGCCTTTTCCTTAAGCCTACGTGGATTTGGGCTGACTGTCTGACTGTAATGACACAATCAAAGCCTGAAGGGTGAGAAGTGCGGATGGTTCCTTGACAGAAATAGTTGCCGCATATCAATAATTCCTTTTCATTGATGGGTGTTGGGCAGACTCAGCTCCTTTTTGCGGCGTATGTCCATTACTCGATCAGGGCCCCTACCAGTCCAAAGCCGAATTGGGCCGGACGGCACAGGGTGGGGTTCCAATCCCAAGCGGCCTGCGAAGTTTCTGGACTTTGTACATCGGAAAACAACAACGACAACATTGTTGTTTATTTTGCGGCAACCCTAAGGCTCCTGACCCTCCAATGCCGGCCCCTGGGCCCTCCAATGAAGAACTCGGACCCCTCACAGCCCTTGGAAACAAGCCATTTTGAGGGCCCAAGAAATCGGGAGCCTTGGGGCAACTGGCTTTTGTTGTTTGGTGTGGGCCGCTTCTCTTCTCTCGCCAGGTTGGAGGTGTTCGAACGAAAGAAGTCAACGCGCTTGAGAGTCACTTTCTCCAGCTCATCGAGTGGAAGCTCCACGTGACTCCCGAGGTGACTGCGCGGGGCGTTGGGGGGCTGCCATGGAAGTAGGTCGGATGGTTCAACCACTCTCTTGGGAAAATGACAGGGATCCGAATACAACGACAACTGACATTTCTTCAGGGTCATTCTACCTCCCCGAAGACCCCACCCAAAGGACAAATGCGGTCTAATGGTTGGGGGATGGTCTTGTCGGGATGTAGGGTCCCTGAAATTTGAAAGGAGCTTGGAGTTAGACAAAATTGGGCTCCTTGCCAGCTGATGCCAGGCACAAGCCGGGTGCTGTCTTGGCCCCGTTCATCCTTTTGTGTTGACCTCTTGATTTTCCTATTGCAGTTGATGCCCCAGAAGATCAGCTTTCTCGCTTGTTGCATTGCAAAGGGTTGTTTGGAGAACCAATGGGAGGCCAGTGTAAGTCTTCTGCCATTTTCGCGCCGCTGGTTTTGTAAGCACTGCAACGTGCATCTTGGGACGCATTTTTTTCTTTGATTCGGGCCTCAGCTAATACGCATCACTTGGCCTTAAAAAATGGGATTTTTCATCAGGGACTCCCCTTAACTTTATTGCCTGGGGGTTGCATGTAGAGGTACACTTTGTCAGTCAGAGGCCCGAAGCCACACTCTGGAATGCAGTTGAAGCATCCCCAATGCTGCGTCAGCTTCCTTAACTGCGAAGCCGCGGCAAATGACGTCACCGGGGGCTCCTGCCCGAGTTTGGGTTTATGGTCCGCGAAGTTACCGCTTGCGATTCGTAGATCGCAACTGGGGGGGGGCAAGCTCTTGGGCATGATTCGGTACGGGTGAGGCAGTGCAACTCTTTGACCCCCATTCCCGATTTCCAAACGCTGGCGCTGGGATGTCGGCTGAACATAGTGACTGAGTGGAAAAGAATCCAAAGGCAGATCTTTGGCAACTCCGCTCCCGCAGGAGTTCGACCAGTACAGGAGCCACGTTTGCACCGTGGCAGGGAGCCCCAGAGAAGCTCGGAAGGATGTTGCCCAAATCCTTACCAGCCATCCAGCTGACCCTGGAAAGATCATTCGGCGAGAAGCCTGCACATCATGTGTGTTTTGTTTGTTTGTTTTGTTTGTTTCTTTGTTTCTTTGATTGTTTCTTTGTTTGTTTGTTTGTTTGGTTGGTTGTTTGGTTGGTTCTGGTGAGCCTTCAACGCTGAATACTCGAAGCCTCAAACCGGCACTGGCCCCAGGGCAAGGATTCCCACCAAGGGGAACCACGGCCATGGCCCACAGAAGTCTTGATGCGACACATAGTCGATACGTTGGCAGGGCCTCGGGTAGATTCTTTTGCAATCGACATCAGCAAGAGAGCCGGCATTGGAGTGCAGCAGGTTTTTGACAAACAAAGCCGCCAACCCCAGAAGTGCAGCTGGCAGCTGGCGCTGGGGGTTGCTTTCGAAGCGCATGATATTTGTGCCTGTTTCTGTTTGCTTCTTTCGGCCTTCAGAAAATTGGGAATGAGCCGTTGGCAATCATGTTCGATACCAATCCGGTCCCCTTCAAAGCGAACACGCAGGGGAATGGACAACAACATCAAAGAGCGGCAACGAATGGGTGTTTGAAAGAGGGTACACCCTGGCGATTCTCCTCAAACCGACACAGCAATTATACCGGAATCCCACTTGGGTATTACGTACAGAAGGAGACTATTTGCAACAATGGCAGCTTCCATATTTGGTTTGCAAAGACATTGAAGGGTCCATTTGGAGATGTCGATGTTTCAGAAAAGGGAATCCGACCACAAATCCTCCGGGTTTGCGAATGGGGGACTCCACTATCCCCGCAGAGGGGGTCGTTCCAAGAAATGTGTGTTGACTACCCCCCCCCATTCTGTCTGTTTGGGCTCATATCAAAAACCCCAAGAACCTGCACAGAGAGACGGACCCATCACTGCGCACCTCGCATGCCATTTTGCCAGGGCGCCGCGTCAAGGCCAGGGACGCGTTCGGCTGGGTGAAACGTGCAGGGTTCACGTTGGGCCCAGGGCGGGTTTGCTCGGGTTTTCCAGGCTTTTTTCAATGTTCAAGTTTTTCCCAGGTTTTTTTTTTCGGGTTTTCCCGTCGCAAGTCATTTCAAAAGCCATTTTCCCAAGGTGAGTCAGGGCTCAAGAGGGGCGCGCCTTGGATTTGCCACAAGTTCTTGGGTATATGACTCCGTACGCTCCAAATCTCCATCCCTTTATACTCAACGCGCCCAAAACAAATGCCCAGATTTCACTCCCGGATTTCACTCCCCAAAAGACAACCTTAAAGGGGATGGAGGAGTTCGTCATTTTTCCCCACCCCCCCCCCCCCTGTTTAGCACCGAGGAAACCATGACGAATCGCCTCAGAAGGCTATTCAACCGTGACCTCACTGAGTGCTAATGATTGAATGTTTTATTCCGACCCGTTTGGGGCACTATGATTTGATTCCTTGATTGGGAATTTCCTGACTTTGGTTGGCGAAACAATGAATTCATACGGATATGTTCCTCTCAAAGGGGGCGTCGCACAAAAACACGAACCGGTGCCATGATTTTCGTAACAACGACATCCAGTTGAGAAGATTCATGACGGCCATGGGTTTCTCTAAATGGGTATCTCTCCTCGTGGGTTCCTTTTAAGCAATCCAAAGCTCCAAATCAGTGAGCCCAGCTGCGAAGGAAAGACTCCTTACAACAGGGCGTTCCTGGCAAGCTGCTTTCAAGCTGGCGCTTGACCCTTTTTCCTACGATCCCTTGAATGAGGACTTTCATAAGCTCTGACAATATGGGTTGCCGGTATGTATCAAAATCGGGCTTTGCTTTTGGCCTCCCCTGTAAAGAAACCAGATACTGGCAGCCTTCTTAAACCACTCACACACTCATTGGATGATTTGTCCCGTCTGGGCATTTCAAGTTGCCGATCCTCACCGAGGGGACTGTGATCATTCGCTTCAGGCTTGTTTTTGATGTCATGTCAACCAAATTCCCTTCGCGTAGCGGCAGTTTTTGCCTCTTGGCTGGTTTCCCTTTGACATCAACCAACAAACGCGGACCGCCGCTCCAGCTGGAAGAACATCTGTCGACGAAGCAACACTTCTATTCATTTGCTGAAGCTCCTTCTGCCTGCAGATATCTTGTTTGTGACCCCCGCCCCCAATAGATGTTGCCTTCGGGAAATTGGGTTCGTTCCTACCTGGTTTTCGCGCGCGGAGGATGAATGCAGAAGAGACCGTGGGATAAGCGCAGACCGCCTCGGGGCCGGTTTAGCTGAGAGAGTGGATCGGCCGCGATGGCATTTTCGGCGCGAGAAATCAAGTGCATCACATATGATGCGCAAGGCGATGATTGTACGCAGAATGTTGCGTCCATTGAACCCGTGGTATGAAACCCCAGTTGATTGGTTAAAGCTAATCATTCCATGAGTTGAGGCTTATGGGGAGCCAGCTACCAAATTGGTACCTTAATGGATTTCCGAACCTCCATGGGTTAATCGGGCCATGCAATCAGTCTATGGCCCAATTGGCAAGACCAAGATCTCCGGCCACGTGGCTGGCTGCTTCCGCCCCCGAATCGAAGATCCGAACTTGGCAGGTCGGATTGAAAATGAGCATCTCATTGCGTTCATTGGGTTGATGGGGGGTCGATTTCGGTGTTTCCTAGAATGGGGAGCCTGCTTTTGGTGTTTTCCCCTTCCAGACCATCCAGCAAAGGCAGGTTCCCTGTTGTAGTTCAAACGCCTGAAATCGGTGTTTCTGTGCTTCTCTTCCTGCCTCAGGGAGCAGCCCTAGTTTGGCGGCGGGTTGTTTCGATCGGATCCGATCGGGCAGTTTCACTCTGACAGCTTCTCTTGCAGTCTCCTTTGTTCCCACGCGCCTTCAACCAACCGGCCCAGTGATCAGTATTTGTTTTAATCCTGATGCTCAAACGGTTCGTCGTGATGGCCTCCAAACATGCTTTTGCTCGACCCATGCCACCAAACAACATTGAACAACAGGCACACCTTCCCGGTCCAACTTCTGTGACGATCAAAAAGCGCAGCGGTCAGACCATCCACCAAAAGGCAGGTTCCCTGTTTTAGTTCAAACGCCTGAAATCGATGTTTCTGTGCTTCTCTTCCTGCCTTAGGGAGCAGCCCAAGTTGGGCGGCGGGCTGTTTCGATCGGATCCGATTGGGCAGTTTCACCCTGACAGCTTCTCTTGAAGTCTTCTTTGTTCCCACGCGCCTTCAACTAACCGCCCCAATGAGCACCGAACACCCCATCATTTTCAGTGTTTTTCAATTGAAAGGTGGCGGCTTCACCGGCTCATATTCACTTTCTTCTGGGTCAGATGGCCTGACTCTGAACACCCTGTAACCCCTAAAAATGGCCAACACTAGGGTTTTGGGCTCAGCAAAGTGTCATATCGAGCTCTGCTTCGGCCAATTGCAAGCAATGCTTCGTGGTTTGGGTTCATCACGACGGTATGGTTGACCATATCATTGCTTAGCACACGGAGCACGGTGAGAGGCGCGGATGTCCACGGTTTGAGTCAGAAATCAAAACCTATGCAAGGAATAAGACAGATGGCTATGGAATCAAAGGGGCTTCTTGCTGCATTGCTGGGGGGGACAGTTTCCACTAACCTTCACCTAGCAAGGTTTTAATTGTGGCATTTCAATCCCTTGTATTGTCGAACAGTCCCATTTACTGACGACATTTACTGATATGGCCGCTAGCATTTTCTGCCCATAGGCAATGCGACGGGAACGACTCTTGAAAGACAGAAAGGGTCGCAAAGCAGCGGGCGCAGGCAGTTTATTACCAGGAGCGACGCAGGATTAGTTGTTTGAGGGTAAATGTCGGCTCCCTTAGGGGCACCAGAAATGCCCCATTGGTTTTGCTTTGACATATCATGAAGGGAGCCTATATGCTAGGCACAGGCCTTTGACGATATCGCCTCACCTCCTTTCTTTGGGTGTCCCTTAAAAGCCATCCCAAACGGGGATTGATGAAGGGCTTTTGTATTACACGATTACATGGGGGATGACCCAAAATGGCTCAAGCAAAATACGTCATCTGGAAAAATCGCCCAGGACCCCATTTTTCTCTCTTTGGGGTCCTTGTTGGCCTGGGGGTTAGTCTTGCGCTCCCTTTTGCCGAAGGTCATTCAGCGCCAGGTGCAGGTTTCAACCGATGCACACCTTGAGGGCTTGCAACATGTCGGGAATCAACCGTCTGCGTTTCAGAGTCGAACACGCCACGCAGATGACCATACAGGAACGCAACACCGTTTGCTGAAAGCCAAGGTTTTGCTATGCGATCGGATACGAGTTCCAGGGACCCTAGCCCGTGACGACTTCCGTTAGCACACCTTAATTTAGAATTTGGTGCCAGATGAGTTGCCACATAAGGGGTCCTTTATTTGTTGGCCGAGCGGAAGGGCGTCCAGGGACCGGGGGCGGTTGAAGGATCAGGGATGAAATTAGGGGACCCCTGTTGCAAAGTCTTTGAAGGAACAAGACAGTCCTCACACACGGTCTTTCAGCACACACCCATAACCTGGATCCCTGGTTAAAGCCGCTGCCTAAACACCCCTCGAGCTTGCCCACTTGGTACATCTCGTGAAGCTTGGGTTCGGGAGGGCTTTGGGATCTCACCTTCGTTGATGCTCAAAGAATCCCAAAGAGACCCCAAACAGCCTCCAAGCCCTTAAGGCCCTTTCAGGCAACTTCTTTGGGCCTTGTCTGACCTTGAGGCTTGCCAGCAACCAAAGCGATGGGGACCTTTGGGTTGAGAATCCAGTTTCGTGGAGTGTTTTGTATGAAGCCCAGATTTCTAGCCGACTGGCCCCAGCGGAATCGGGCCCTGCCGGACTGCCGGACTGCCGGACTGCCGGACTGCCGGACTGGACGTCACGTGCGGGGCCTCAGGTGCCAAGGATCATTTGCGATGCCAAGGAACCTTCCTACGATGGCACGGAGCGAAGCCATGCTTGACGCATCTTTTTCTTGGTATTTACAGACAATATCATTCCAGGGTTTCTTAGGAGGAGCGAAATGTATTTCGTCCATCCACAGTATGGCAAACAATTTGGCTGGAAAGGTCTGAGCCGAGGGCCTATCCGAATGTGAGCAGAAGGTTTGTGCCGGACCTTTCAGGGAGGGGCCTCCCACTTTCGCATCTGTCATCAGGAAGGTCAGGAAAAGGACTTGGCTGACACGAGCTCAAAGCCTTCTTTGAAAGGTTCCCTTTGGAGCCCGAAACCTGTGGATTCTACTGGCACATTTCCTCTTGTAGCATTGTTTTAGCACTGATTTACGATTCATCCACAGGCTTGAAGACATCCTACTAAGTTGGGCTTCGTAAACCCGCGCTTCTGTGGGTCATTGGCACAACCACATGATTTGTGGTTGGCAAATGTTGCACGGCTTCGCGCACCAGTTTTGTCGATGGTGATCGAGCAGCACCCAATACCCCCGTTGGCCATTTTCGGGATTCTACCTACAAGGCCGATCGCACAGGCTATATAAACCTTTATGACCATCTTAGAACCAAAAGTAAATAGGTTATGGAGGTGCTCCAAAAGCAGGAGGTCTATGTTGAATGTTACGAGCAACTGAGATCAACTCCAGTCTGATCAATTAGTTCAGAGTCGTCTGAGGGATGTCTCCACCCACTGTGGCCGCTGGCCCAATCCCGCTGATGAGATGTGTCCACTTGAGGTTGTGGACAGCACCTAGGGCTTTTTGAAGTGCGGCACCTTTCTCTGGGTGAATCCCCCGCAAGGGAAAGCTGACATGAAGGCATGGAGCCACTTGCTTAAAGTGATATTGGTGTTATATCCACACTGCCCAGAGAGCGCGTTCCGGGCTTCTTTTGGGGCTTTGGGGATTGCCGAGCCATTTCCGGGGTTTCCCTTTCGGAGACCCCGAGTCCTTGCAGGTGATGTCCGACCTCTTGGACCTTGGGGAGGCGAGAAGTGAAGTCCGGAACGGCGAACGGATGCAAATCCTTTCTTGGTGTCTAACAACATCACGCTTGTTTTGGTTTTCCCGTGGCTGTGGTTGTTTTGTGGTGCGTTGTTTGTTTTGCAGAGCTTGTGCTGATGGCTTGTGGGGATGTGTGTGTGTGTGTGTGTTTGCTTGCTTGCTTGCTTGCTTGCCTACCTGCTTGCTTGCTTGCTTGCTTGCTTGCTTGCTTGCTTGCTTGCGTGCTTGCTTGCTTGCTTGCTTGCTTGCTTGCTTGCTTGCTTGCTTGCTTGCTTGCTTGCTTGCTTGCTTGCTTGCTTGCGCGTTTGTTTGTTTTAGTGTGTTGGTCTTCGTTTGTGTTGCTTTTATTTGGTGTGTTTTGTTTGTCATGTTTTGTTGGTCATCTCGCTTTTGTTTGTTTGACTGTTTGTTTGTTTGTTTGCCTTGCTTTGCTTTGCTTTGCTTTGCTTTGCTTTGCTTTGCTTTGCTTTGTTCTGCCCTGCCTTGCCTTGCATCGCTTTGCTTTGTGTTGTTGAGTTGAGTTGAGTTTTGTTTTGGCATCATTTTGTTTTGTACTGTGTTGTGTTGTGTTGTGTTGTGTTGGTTTGTCTGTCCGTCTGCTTGTTTGTTTTTTTGCTGGTTGGTGTTTTTTTTGCTCCGTTGCTTGGTTGCGTGGTTGCTCGGTCGGTTGCTTGTTTGGTTGTTTGATTGGTTGGTTGCTTGCTTGGTTGGTTGTTTGGTTGCGTGCCTGCCTGCCTGCTGCCTGCCTCACTGCCTGTTGCCTGGCTGCCTGCCTGCCTGGCTGGCTGGCTGGGGCTGGCTGGTTTCTGGGCTGATTGTTCGGCGTGGATGCATTGTTGAGTGTTTGAGTGTGTGAGAAGATGCTTGCCTGCTTGCCTGATCGCTCGCTTTGCCTGCTTGCCGCTGATGCGGCTGAGGTGGTGGCAAGTTGCTGCTCAAGCGGACGAAACGCACGCACCCAGAGGTCATGTTTCCACTCTGGCCACGGCTGCCCCTTGGTTTCAACCAACACCTCTTCTTGATTGATTTGATATGTTTCACAGGAGATGCACCCAGTGAAAAGATGGTCCAAACAATGTCAACAAGATTGGTTCGCTTTAGCCTCGGGCCCCTTTTTTTCTCGCTGGTCGAGCAAGGAGAAGCAAATCAGCGGTTTCCCGAGAGTGCAGTTTAGTTATATAGGCGGCACGGGCACACTTCTCAATCCGAAGTTCGAGTGACGGGATGGACGGGCAGTTTCCCAGACCCCCGAATCTGTTTAAGTTCAATTTTTACCTTTTCTGATTTATGGGCACCAAACCAAGTTTAAGGTCCCTGCTCTTTTGTTCCCGTTTTGGCCCCAACACAAACCGAACAACATGGGTAGCCCCTTCACAAAAAGGGCCGCACTCATATGGGTCTGTCTATTTTTCAGTTGGTACCCCTTTCTTGGTGGTTTTTAAAGGACACCTGAAGCTCTTTTTTTTGGGGGGGGGTTCCCCTTGAAACAGACCCAGACAGCGGAAGAACAACAAGAAACAACATGGAACTCTGAGCTCTGCAGTGTTTAGCCTGGCTAGGAGGATACTCGCCTACGTGAAGGGGCAGTGTACTTGGTGGTTGGTAGGCCTGGTCATAATCCACTTACCATAGTTAGAAGTCTCCTTTGGAAATATGGTTGGAAAGTTCAAAGAATATTTCTCCCAAAACCTTTCCAATTTAACTTCCTGGAGAATATCCTGGAAATGTTTTCTTTGGTAAGTGGGTTTAAAGAAAAACGGGGCGAAGCACGTCTCCTTACGCATAGGCGAAAGAGGAGGTGCCTCCGGCCGCCCGAAGCTGATGGGTTGGGGGTTTCGGCTACCTGGACTGGATCCAACTGGTTTTGGATTGAGATCATCCCCAAAGCAGGCTGAGAACCAAGCCGCAAGTACCAAGAAAAAGCAAATGTAAGTTGGAACCTCTGTGCCTTTGAGCGAGGCCAAGCGACACACCCTGTCTAGTGTTTTGCTCCAGGTTGGGTTGGGTTCAGAGCACCCAGTTGGCCCAGTAAAGGCCGCCTCCGTTTGGGAGGCGGTAGGTATGTTATAACTTTGGCTACTAGCCCCCACATGAAGTTGAACCCGTTGTGAGTGGGTTGAAACCTAGGTTATGAAGTGCTTCCCAACTGGCCCGTCCAAGAAGGGAGTGCTACTCTGCAATGTGATGGGGATCTTTGGGCTGAATTTACTTACCAACCCCTTACCGAGTTCTAGAAGTGCATACCCCGTTTGTCTCCTGAAATTTCAACGACGAACAGACGAATCCATTTTTCCATGTTTATAGGTAACTTTGCATTGATGCGGTAGCTTGTCTCAACTTGCGTCAGTATTTGAATCGGGGTACGGGACTTTTCAGGGGGAAGCAACCAACTATATCTTCAAGAAATCCTGCATATTTCTCGAAACTTGGGACCCGATGTCCGTTTGGCACTTGCCCAAAGCCCTCAGGACCTTGTGATTGACCCAGAAGTTCTGGTCAAAGGGGCCCAGTTCCAATTTTTGGTCCCAAGGCAGCAGATACCTAGAAAGCCGATTGAGCCCTGCGCCATTGATTTTTGAAGAGGAAACCAATTTGTTCCTGGGCATGGACCCCACATCCAAAGCGTTTCAAAGGGCTGGCTTGTAGTGTCCTTAATCAGCCCGCCTTCCAGGACCCACCTATGCGCAGGAGCCGTTTTGAGTGAACTTTGAACAGAAGCTATAGAATTGGACAAATGGGTTGATGAAACCAAGTCTGGCCAAACTTCACGAGTGAGGCCAAGAAAGATGACGTGTGGAGCCTTAGTCGGCTCGTCCGGTGGTGGGGGCTTTTTCGGGGGGTTGATTTTGGAGACAAGCCCATCCAAGCACAGGAACGGGGCCACTGGAGAACTGGTGAAGCAAGGGCTGGCTGGCTCCCAAATAAGGAACCGCCTTTTGATGTTGCCCTAGTTTGCGCTTTGAACCGGCCTAACAACCAACTTGTGCGAGGGGTCCAAGTCTTCCAGATTGAGAGGACGGCCCCAGGGGTCCTTATCTTACAGACCCAACTTAAGTCCGGTTGAATTACCAGCTCGCTTGGGCCCATCGTTTGCCCAATTCACGGAGCCATACCCCGGGCCTCTCATGGCAGCCGCTCTCACACCCAAGCCCCTGCTCCGATCCAGCCCAATGGAAAGATTCAAGCGCATAAACCAAAATGGGGGCGACCGTGACCGACCGCAACCCCTGAAAATGGGCTCATCTGCATCTGTTCAAGTCGAAGCCTTTCAAAAAACAAACGGCACCCATGAAAGGAATGCCGTCCACGCCAAGGATCTCTTAATGGGCTACGCGGCCGCTCCGGCGCCGGCGGCTTCGCCGGCGGCTCCGGCCGCTTCGGCGCCGGCCGCTGCGGCGGTCGCCTCGGTGGCAGGGGGCGAGGCCAAAGACCCAGTCCCAAGAGGTCTCAACAGCAGCCGATGTTCAAAGCGTGCTATGGGGAGGGACGAGAAGGGTCCACCCATTTTGCCTCTACGTATCATGGTCACCTTGGAACCAATGATCTTTGCTCAGCTGATCAAAGCGACCTGGGCAAGCTATGGGCGTGTCATTTTTTGAGGGTGCCCTTTTGTGGTGGTTTTAAAGGGAAACCAAGAGGAACACCGTTGCGCCATTTTGAGGAATCTAAATAACCGACAGACCCATATTCGGCTCGCAGCCTTAGCTATGACGAATACCCCTTGAGAATGATAGAAAAGGATTTGTGATATGGGCTTGTCACTTTTTGCCTTTTTTTGGTTGGTTTGAAATGGGTTCCAACAGTAAAACCACCATTTTGGGGTTATTGAGCCGCTTGCCTCGTTTTCTCACACGATTCCAAGTGTGCATGTGCGGGAGTCGTTGTGTGTATGCCCAGCACCATTTAAGGCGGGAGTCGGGGAGGTCTTGGGGGTCGCTCGGGGTTCATAAACGGAGATTCGCATCCAAACAGGTCGTCATGAGCCCAAAATGGCCCCAAAAGTCAGGTGTGTGTCCGGATCCCAGAAGATTCCTCTTGAAACGTCCTCTCCTGGTCACCAGAGCCATTTTTTGGCGGCTTGGGTCGTCCCAACCCGATCAGCACCGAGGTGGAGGATGGTGCAGCTGGCGACTTGAATTAGCCGATGCAAGTGCAATGGAAGCGTTACTGTCGCAGTATCCGTGGACTATGTTGAGCTTATCTATGGTATCTGGGCTGGAAATGGGCTCTGGCGCTTAATGGCAGTCAACCGAAGAAGCAGTGAATGCCCCTTTACTAGGCACAGAGACGTGAATCAGGTCCAGGGTTTGAAGGCATGGACGCTCATATACCACCAATACAAGCGTTTTCAACAGTACGTACCCCTTATGCAGGTGGGGTAAAGCCTCCACCTCCAAAACCCGTACCTGAAAATGCCCTTGCAATGGGGCTTGTTCAACATAGTGATGCCCTAAACATGTGTCCCTTTAAATTCAACCAAAAGGGGGTCCAACTGTTTTTGGATGTTCAACCCAGCTTAGAACCAAGGTACTAGCTGGGTGACTGGGGTTCGTTGGCTTATAGCCATAATTCCAAACTACTTAAGTGGGCTGGACATGCAAGTACAGACATGAGCGCAAATGACACAAACCACCACCCATTCAGGCATTGGGCCAACTTTGAATGTTCAGCTGGCTTTCCCTTTTGCTTGCTCTTGGCAGTATTCTTGATTTGTGTTCTGATTTTGCTTGGTTCTGTTCATCTTTGGTGGGGGGAGCAAAGAGCAACCCGTTTTCTCTTCTAACACATCAGGTGGGAAAGATTCCACGTCCGGAACGGAGAGTTCACTTGCGAGTGGCCTGGTCCCACGCGGGCCCCATCGTTCCGGGAATCCATCGTTGCCAGACTGGGGGGACTTTGCGTCGGCAGTCTGGGGGCCCAGCCTCGAGGGACTCCAGGGACTCGAGGGACTCGAGGGACGGAGGTGAAGCGCCGAGGGGGGGAGACGTCTGCAGAAGAAATGCCCGGGAAAGAGCCGCGTGCAGCTGGTCCCCACCCAAACAAGAATACAGGCGGAGCTGATTACGCTGGGCACGCGCCAAATTGGGGGGCCGCTCAAGACATGCCGAGAGGTCGTAGGTTTTTGGTGTGATCAAAGCATCCGCATCAGATTGCCTTGGATTTTGATCAGCAGACAAACCATGTGGTGATCAGCACATAATTGGGGGTTAAGGTGCCAAAAACCAGGCATTGCGGCCAAATAGGGGCTGAACAGTTGGGGGGGAGGGGAGACGGGGCATTTGGTGTGGTGTGGTCAATCTTCAACAGCCTGGATTCTTGGACTTAGAAATTATGATTTGTCCCATAGTAAAATCTTTGAGACCACAATGGAACGGTTCATAAGGAAACCAGAACCAGGCCCGTCTATGCCGCCTTTCATGCACTTGGACCTCAAAATCTTCTCAGCCGGACTCCTCAAGAGCGGAAAGATGGCGGGTGTTCGAAGCTTGGCAACTGTGTAAAGGCTCCTAAGGTGGATGGACGAAATCCATTTCGCACCACCTCAGAAACCCCGGCAGATGATTCCCCTACAACTACCCACAAACAATGGTTTCCCATGGTTCCGAGTGGTGCGAAATGGATTTCGTCCATTCACTGTATTAAGGGAAGTGAGAGTGAGTGGTTGAGGGTACCCTTGTCAGCTTACTTTAGGGAAGCTAAAAGGAGCACAATGTTTATTTTTGGGTTCCCCATATTTTGACGCATACCCAAAGAACTGGTCACTGCATTCTACCCTAGATTCTCCCTTGGTCACCTGCCCTCTTTTTCTGAGAAACCAGCAGTCGCTTCTACAGGAAATCTTCACGAACTCCGATTTTCCGTCGAATTTGCCACGTCCACTGGTGTTCGATGATCTTCCCATGGCTTTTCCACTTTGGGTGTTGGTTTCGCGAGGCGCCGGAGGCGGCCCAGGCGGGTGGCGGGTGTTGGTATCGGGGTTCGGGAAGTGACATCCCGATTGGGGTAACAGGTAAAAGATAAATTCAGTTTTTGGGGTCCCAGATTTTTCTGAACCAAGGCCAGCTGTTTCTTCCTGGGTTTTAAACATCATCTGGGTTTGGAAACGAAGCCCATATTTCCCCCAACAAGATTTGACACATTTTTAGAATATATATATATATATATGCATATATATATATATGTATATCTATATTGTGTATGTATATTTAAGATAGACAAGCAGGTGACGCACGGGGGCAACTATTTCCAGGGAAAATGCCGTAGTAGGTACATGTTGTGTGGCTTGAGACTCACTCTTGGGCCCATGCTGTTTGAGTTTCCCATGTGTAATGTTTAAAGGGAAATATAGGGAACCCTGCTATCAAGGCCGTGCAAGGCCAGAAGAGGTTTTGGGGAGTCCTGGGGCGTTTTCGGGTTTACCTTTGGGAGGCTTCGCGTGGCTCGTCAAGGCTCTTCCCATTTGGATCTAGGTCAACTTCCTCGGCACGATCTTGAAGATCTTGTTCTGTTCATTGTGGGGGCTGCAAAGAGCAGCGCTCCTGTGGTTGTCAAGGGACTCCAAATAGGGTCCCCAATCTCAATAATGCAACAAATAGGGTCTACTAGGGGCTCATAGGGTTCCTTTTGGAGACCATTTCCAGGTCCCCCATTTGCCGCAGGACATGATGCCGTGCCAACGCCAACACCCCCGGGGTTGGGAACGTGGAGGGGGGGGTCCATGATTTTGAAAGTCGTTATATGTTGATACTAGTTCTGGACAATCAGGCAAACCGTTCTCCTTGTTCGCTCAACGAAATGACGATGCCTGGCATGAAGATACATAGTCATGTTTTCTTGGCGTTGCTTTACAACTCCCTGGTTTGCAGGGTGATTGGATAGCCCATATTTTCTGGGGTTTGACATCACCAGGCGCTATGGGTTTGGGAGCTATGGGTACAGGTGATGCGAGAGGCAGCTCAACTGTCCTTTGCGAGGCGGAAGACAAAAAGCCAGGCACGGACGTGAACGCGGACAGGAACGGTATGGCGAGCAGTGTTTGGGGATTGGCTTCTTGTGCACCCGCGCATGGGTTCTTTAACGTAGTTTTGAGAATGATCCATGGCAGCTTGGGGTGTAAGTCAATTGGCGTCGTTTGGCTTCCAAACAGGAGTCCCTATATTCAGACCAGCAAAGTCCCCGCAAGACGGCTTCATCGGCGTGATAAATGGCAAGTTATGCCAAATATGGTCAAACACGGGGCCAAACACGGCCTTAGTAGGTGGAGGGGGTGCAGGGCTGCTATTTGGGGCCAGAGAGGCTAAATGAAAAAGACACGCTCGACAGGTCCTTTTGGGGCTTGTAAGGTCGCTGGCATACTTTCGTCTTTTGGGTGGTTCTGGGCACCACTCAGTGCACAAATACGGGTGGCATGCCCAGGGACAGGTGCTCTGTCAGCCATGGACAAGACATGTTCTAATTCTGGTGTTGCTCCTCTTTTTTGTCATCACTTCACCCTCCCTCTCTCTTTCTGTCTCTCTCTCTCTCTCTCTCTCTCTCTCTCTCTCTCTCTCCTCTCTCTTTCTCTTTCTCTTTCTCTCTCTCTCTCTCTGGTGTTTGGTTCTTTCTTGTGTACCTTTTTCATTTCTCGTGGGACCTTCACACCTCGAGCAAATCGCAACTAGAAGCGTATGTGACAGCACTGGTTGGTCTTTGGCTTGCTCTTGAACCTCTGACATCCTCCAATGCTGGGGAATTGGTAACAATTATTCACCGGACCCCGCTTTGTTCCGTTGCTCGTTGGCCCTCTTTGCCCCTTGCTATTTGGTACTGTAGCTGGACGAGCCGCTGGAGCAGTTGGGATGGATTGTCCACCAACTGGTGCGAAGCCAGTTTTATCCATCCGTATCCCAGACCAACAGTGCAGCCCATGTTTCATCTTTCTTTCTTTCTTTTTACCTTAAGCTTCATTTACTTCAAATTCAAGTTTAAAAAACCCGCCCTCTTGCACATGGGTCGGGTTGCGAGCAGGTAAGGTCGGAGTTTTAGGGGTCCACCCAGGCCTTGCGGCGGAGGCCGAGCCGGCGCCGGGCTTGAGGGTGGCGGGGGGAGAAAGCGGGAGATGCCAAGAACCAGGTTGTATTTCGAGGTATCGGGAAGTAGCATCATTTTGCTTGTTTATCGATTCACCACAGAAGATACTTAAACAAGAAGCATGGCCAAGGGCGCCCCTACAGTCTTGGGTTGGGACAATCCTCAATAAACCTGCACCTCTTGGGCAGAGCTCAAGTGGAGAAAGTAGGGTTGGGCCCAAGCTCTTTCAAAAAGCTTTAAACCACAATTCTGACTAAATAGATTCTTCAATCGTGTCTGGATGTTGAAAGTTCGCGCAAATCTCCACCGCGAGCGAGCGAGGTTGACAGCTTCGACCCCATGGAGGGTGCAAAGGCCGCAAAGACTGCGGATCCCTACAACCATTTGGGTGCAGCTGACGGAATTGAAGTTTGGCTGAGTCCGGGTTGGGTGTTCAAGACAAGAGTGTGAGCAATGGTTGTGTCTGGGGCAAAAAGGGCTTCCTCCATTGTTTTGACGGTCTCTAGGGGTGTCAGAAATTTGAAAGTGATGTTCTTTGTAGGTTTTGCAATCTGCAATTTCTTGTGTCTTGCGCGAATTCTTGGAAGACCGCGAAGTGCCGTGTGCCTACAGGCAGAATCAGGCGTGGATCGAGAGGAAACCTCGGGCTGGCATAATGTGCCCAAGAATTGGGCGCGTTTCAAGGACATGCTCAAGTACTACCCCCCCCAAGACAGGTCGCTTGTCATAAGTGTCTTATAAAATCCTTGTCACGTTATGCAAGCAGGGGGTTTCTGTGCCTTGATATTGAGAGCAGGTCTGCGCACGTCAAAATGTACCACCCTCCCTTGGGCCCCGAGTTTTTAACCCATTACTCTCGTCAAACCCCTTGACCTCCAACTCAAGACCACAAACGCAGAGGCTGAACCGTTTTCCCGGCAATGACCTGTCTTCACACGTCGCCCTGTTCACGTTTTGACCTCGTAGAAGCCTGACCCATGGCCGGTTTTCATGCGAAGACTTTTTTCAGCGCACGTGACGAGAATACCGAATGGAGAAGATGCACATGGACGACGGTGTTGCGGAGATACGACATGCATTGTCTTTGGTTTGCGAGTGCAAATGCGGTACAGATTTGTTCCAGGTTTAAACGGGATACTGGTAAAGGTTTCAAAGGGGATCCCAAATTGTGCAGTGTGCATGCACACATGGACAAGCATATCGCAGGGTGTCGGTTTGTTGCTGAGAGACACAAATTGAAGTGCCAGAAACCATGGAGAAGAAGGCGGAGGGAGAGGACAACCTCATCTCCTTCGGCGCTCTGGACGAGTTCGGCCTGGGGCCCGGGCTCGATTTTTGGCGGTATCTGCGACGACTCTGGGAGCTCAATGCTAGGGTTGGCTGAGACCCCAGTCGTTGATGTTTTCAGGAAACCCTTCTAGGATTTGCTTTGCGAGAACGATCCGGAAGGTGGTGCACATGTGACACAAACAACGAAGGATCCCCTGCCCCTCTGCAAACGTATCCAATTGGGGTGTGTGTTCCCCTGTTGCAGGGGCTTTTTAATACACTTCCCCGTAGGCAAGGCATTCGGACCACTTACGCCGGGGGCTCTGTTTTGCTTGTTTGGTAGGTCTGCCAAACCTATTCATTGGGCCTGTTTTTTTTTGGGGGGATGGTATCCAATGCTTGGGAAGCTAAGGAAACCATTCCGCACGAGTGTGGAATGGTTTGGGTGTTGAATCTTTTCTCATGTTCCTGTTTGAGATCAGCCCGGTTCAACCCGAAGGCTCACGATAAACACCCGGATGACCAACCTACAATTGCTTTGAAGGGGCGGACCCTCACTAGCGTCCAACAGTGTTTGGGAGGTCAGTTGCTTGCCCTTGATGGCACTTTGAAAGCACCCTAAACTTGAATGGCTATATGATCCTTTGAAGGTCGCCTAATCCCTCCAAGCTTTCCCCTCAACAAGAGGGCGACTTTGGGTCGCGGTATGCCCAGCCCGCCCTCCCCAGGCCCCCCCCCCCCCCCCCAACCCCCCCCAACCGCTCCCCCGCCGCCCTCGCCTCACTCGCAGACCCAGTGGCGCACCAGTGGCCCAACGCCAAGCCCGAGGACTGGATCGAGTCACCGTGTTTGAGGGCACCGAGTCAGCGCATCCAATCCGTTTCCTCGGAAGGATGGTCTTGGTGGGCTTCAGCTAGCCTCTTTGTATATGATCCTCCAATACCCCCTCGTGGCTTGTCGAGTTCGGTTGCTCTTACCTGTGACTTGCTGGTTGGAAAGTGGCGATAGGTTTGTATTGCCACAACAGGAATCTGTGATCTGTTGGTCCGCGTTTCGGGGTGTTGCACCAAGCCTGGTTTGTGGGTTCGACAAATGTAGCTCTGATGGTCGGGCCCGGTAGGTGCAAGCCAAGGTATGGATTTCCAACTGGGGTTTTGGTCATGACGCAGATTACTTTTCTGGCCTCATGTGGCCCAAGGGCGAAACTTGCCAACTCAGGCCATTGGACCTGGTTGTCAAACCTCATTTCACTTCGGCATCGTCGTCAACCCGCGGTTCGGTCGATTTACAACGGAAGACATGCTCGTTTGCAGGTTGTTCCTTCTCTACGTTTGCCCCACCAATGCTTTGAGATTGCCATGCTAGACCGCGGAAGCTCGCGTGTGGCAATTCTGGAAGTCATCCCAAAGACATCACCCAAGACAATCAAAAAGACAACCCTGGCAGACACCCCCAAAACCCCCCCCCCCCCAAGAGACTTTTCCCGCACCCCTGCCAACAACATCCCCAAAGTCATCCCTGAAGACATCACCCAAGAAACCGCAAAGACACCCGCAAAGACATCCCCACGCGACACCTTCCAGAGAGACACCCCCAAAGCCACCCCCAGGAAGTCAACCAAGACAGCCGCAAGGACATCCCCACAAAGTCACCCCCAAAGTCATCCCCAAAGACCTACCCTAAAAACAGCTGCAAAGACATCGACCCTTCCGAAGAAAACCCCACAGACGACATCCTCGAAGACATCCCCGAAGACATCCCCGAAGACATCCCGAAAGATATCCCCAAAGACCGAGACAACCGCAAAGACATCACCAAAGACACACCCAACGCCCCCTGAACACATCCCCACAAGACACCTTCCCCGAAGACATCCCGAAGACATCCCCGCAAGAAACCTTCCAAAGACACCCCCAAAGTCACCCCCAAAGCACATCGAACAAGCCAACTGCAAAGACATCCTCCAAGATATCCCGGAAGACATCCCTGCGGCACGCCAAGCTCGTGCCGCGCTTGCCACGCAATTTGCCCTCAGGCTTCAAAGTGCTGCGCCTGCCACGCTATTATCTGCGCGAAAAGCTCTAAAGTGCTGCGCCTGTCGCGCAAAGTGAGCTTGCAGCGAAATCAATGGTTTTGTCTCAAAATATAGTGGACCCCCCAACACGGGTGATTTCCGTTGGCTTCCCTTTAAACCAACCCCAAAAGTGCAACCACCAAAAAAGACACCCACTATTGTCCAAAGTACTGCGCCTCTCACGAAACACTCGCTTTGACATGTTTACGATTTCAAGCTCACCAAAACAAGCAGATGGTACGACAGGGTCAAAGAAAATGGGACTCACTCGTTTGCCACCTTCATTACGGAACAGAGTTTGACCGTGGCTCACCTGGGTGTTTCCTTGGTTTTATTTGAACAATGACCGTTTTGGTTGATGAACCTCTGAACCAGCCAGGAAAAGTAAATGGTTCCCCGCAGGTGCCCTGTACCCACGAAGTGGGCTAGAACCAAAATAGGGCTACGGTTCCGGTTCCACCAAGCAACAGGTGTATTTCTCCTTGAAAAAACCCAACCTGAGTTTTCAAGCAGGCACCAAAGGTCCCCAGGGTTTTCACCTGCAGGCGGCCGCAAGTTCCAGCGAGCCTGCCGCAGCTCAGGCCTCGGGCTGTTTTTGTTTTGAGGGTGGCCCTTCTTGGTTGGTTTTAAAGGGAAAAGACAGACCTGAATGTAAGATCCTCATCCCCGCAGTTCATGGACTTTATGCTCTTGGGAAGACCAGGCAACAAGGTTGAACTGTTTTTGCCACTCACGTGATTGTACCTTGAGGCCGCCCTGGGCTCTGTTCGAAGTGGTTCCACTTGAACAACCCATGTAGAGTTTTGCTTCTGCATGTTGCTGGGACCCCCAAGAAATGTACCTTTTGTTGGGTTGGTTTGAAATTTTAACAAAGAAACCAAGGGGCGGAATCAATCATTTCAAAGCCAGCCCTTCAAAGTAGGCAAACGGTGTTATTTTTTCCCTGGGCAACCATCCTAAGTCTTCCAAACGGCGCCAAACATCCCCCAGGGCTTTCACCAAATCGGGTGCTCGCCTTGAAGGCCGCAAGTTCCAGCAAGCCCGCCACAGCTCAGGCCTCGGGCCTCTCAGGTCGAGGGCTTTCCGAGCGGTCCATGTGTGACCAACTGCCGTATTTTTTGGTGCCCCTTCTTGGGTTGGCTTGGGAAACCGCAAACCAAAGACAGACCATGTAAGGTCCCCATCCCCTGGGTTCATGGACTTTGTCTTAGGAAGACCAGGGTGGTGGCAACACGGTGACCTGTTTTTTTGCCACTCAGGAAGTTATCGCAACTTGACGGGTCCTCCTTGGTTTTTCGTGCATCCCGTTGGGTTGTCCTGGACAAACCCCCAAGGGACGGTGTGGGCAAAACCATTTCAGGGGTGCCCTCCCCAAAGTCAGTCTCTGGTCTCAAAGCCAGCCCCAACTCTGAAGAGTAACGCCCCACTTTGCTTCGGACCCCAGCTGGGTTTAGTGGTTGTTTTGAACAAGCCGCGTTTCCTTCTTTCCGTTTAGCTCCCGCAATGGGAGGGGATGTTTGGAGGATGGCTCCGAGCTAGCATTTTTGATGGCTCCCTGGATTCCAGCTCACGTGGTATGAGCAGCATGCCTCAAAAGGCGTGGCTTACCCAAACGGTGCGAACATACGTATGATACGTGCAGCCCATGCAGAATTGTACGTTAGAATGGGGCATGTGCAATCGTCGCTCGACACGCCGCCGAAACCTTCAGGTTGACTTCAACCCGAACCCCGGGCAGGCGCGTCAAGCATGAGGATTGATCTAATAGCCTGGTGGATGACCACCCCACGCCAGGGAAGTGACTGGCTAGTATCCAGTCAAAACGCCCCTGTTCAACTGGGTTATGTGTACATTTTAGTCGGGGGTCTTATCTAGAGATATTGAGGACTTACTGAGTGGGGTGGTCCAAGTGACGTTTGCCAGGTGGGCCGGTCGCTTCTCCTTTGTCTCCACCAGTTCCAAGGCACCCACATCCCCACTACCCAGTTTCTTCGGTGCTTCCGCAAGGTAGGCATATACTTGTGTGTGTGTGCGCGCGCGCACCAAAATAGGGCCCCCCAAAAGAACAAAATGGTGGTTTCCTTTTTGACCTTCCTTCAAACCGACCGCCCCTCAGAAACACACGCCCATTACTATAATATTCCTGATCCTTTTCGGGCAAAACGAAGAACCTGTTTGCCGGCCAGTCTTTCCGTCTTCCTATTTGGACACTCCGACAATGGTAGCTGAGTTGCAGCTTTTTGCCTCCGATGCCCTTGCGCTTCTCATCCAGATGCACACCATTGCCCCATCACCCCACGCGCTCCAAAAGGTTCGATCTGAACGCTTCTCCAAAAAGGGATGGGTCAGAGGCCAACTGGTCAAAGCGCACGCCCCTTGGAAGGTGCCCTTTGATTCGTCATGGCCAAGGGGAAAAGGAGGCCTTGGGTTCGAGGGATAGGTTGATAGGCCCAAACAAGCTCTGGGGTTCGGAGGGTTCGGGGGTTGGGGAAGCGACGGCGTCAAATCAGGCGAGCCATTGGCTGTCTGTCCTTTTTTGCTCCCAGATGAGCAGCCAGTTTTCACCACAACGAAGAGACGATCAAATTGGAGTAATCTACGTCGGTATTTCTGGTCGCTTCTTTCCTTTCACCGCCCGCGCAGGGTGGGGATCTCCTGGGCCTCGGCGGGGCGGAGGCCTGGAATTCCGGGGTCCGGCGTTCGGCGCCCAAAGCCACAGCAATCGAAACCCGGCTGGGTGAAGGTTGCGGGACAGTCCCAGCCACAATCAGGTGCGGCTATCCGCCTTTTTTAGTTCTGAACGTTGGCTTGGGTAGGCCACAGTATCGGGTTTTGAGTGTGACTCAGTTGATTTAAGCCAGACTTCTAGTGCTTCTAGTGACCATTCGACTTTAATTAGACTTTTAATGTGGAGCACTTTATAGATTCATTCTAGCCCAAACATCCAGATTAACAGTTTTACTAGAATTCAGAGCCATGTGCAAACCACATCCCAGGGTGCCAATTCCTCATTTTTTCCGCCAGCTCACAGCGGTTCGGGTTCGGGTGCAGCCGGGACCCCCCGCACCATATGTCTCGAACTGGGGCTTCCTTTTTGCCCCAAGGTCAGTACAGGAAACGCAAGTTGCATGCGGCTCATTTTAAGCGTTTGGCCTTTTGGGGCACCAGATAGTGGTGGGGTTCCCCACAAATTCTTTCTTTTACGAAGATGCAATTTCATTGCAATCTGAAGCGTTTGACTTAAATCGTGCAGTGCGCGGGTCCACTGGTCTTTTTTTGGCAACAAGCAAGGGCAAGCCCTTCCTTTCCCGTGCTCATTGGGAAAGGACACAGTTCTCCGCGAAACGATCCTGTGATCTTTTGGTTTCTCTTCGCCTACTCTTACCAGGGTTCCCTATATTTCCGCTTTGTTTTCTGCGCATCAGCTGGGCCAATTTCTCGTGAGCTTCTGTTTGGGGTGACGTTGGGCAAAATCTGGGGAACCCCGGTTTGCTTCCTCAAAGAAGCTCCAAGACACAAGGTTTCGCATTCACTCGGGGACTTACGAGTGGGCTTTCAACCTATCACCAGTTTGTTTGCCCTTTCCCCACAATTAGTTTGTGTTTCTATCAAGTGGGTTGATTTCTGAATGGTGCAGGCTTGCCTGGGAGACGCGCAACTGGGCTTTTGCCCAGCAAATGTCCAGGTGGTGTGTATTGATATTCATTGCTTCAAGGTTCGATGCTCAAGATGGTCTTGGGTCCTCTTTGAGGTTCCTCTTCAGAAATTCGAGGCCCACAGCTCATCAGTCATGATTTTCGGGCCAAAGCAAATGCCCTCGCTGGCTTTCTGATACAAGAATCCACTCTCCAGTTTGTGCGACGCCAGCCGCAGGAACCGGAAACGGAGAAGAAAATGATCTTCGTGTACCACAAGGGCGAAAAGAATTGCGCTTGCGGCCCAGAGGAACACCAACAGCTGCTCAACTCCGTTGCATTTCTGGGGGTTAGACACTTTTGGATTTGTTTGAGAGAGGTGACCCAAAGGAGGGGAATTTCCAGAAACAAAACAGATACAGCAGAGCCAGGGCTCCAGGTGTTTTTTCTTTTGTGCTCCATTCAGGGCCGTCTTAGGTTAGTTTGACGAGAAATAGAGGGAGTTATTCCATTTACAAGGGCCTTCTATTTTACCAAAACGATACTATGGAGAGGAGTGCTTGGGAATAGAACGTGCGGTGCGTGCAAGAAACAACAACGCCCTTTGTATCAGTTTAGAGGTACAGCGGCACAGCACACACACACCCACCCACCCACCCACCCACCCACCCACGTACGCACGCACGCACGCACGCACGCACGCACGCACGCACGCACTCACTCACTCACTCACTCACTCACTCACTCACTCACTCACTCACTCACTCACTCACTCACTCACTCACTCACTCACTCACTCACTCACTCACTCACTCACTCACTCACTCACTCACTCACTCACTCACTCACTCACTCACTCACTCACTCACTCACTCACTCACTCACTCACTCACTCACTCACTCACTCACTCACTCACTCACTCACTCACTCACTCACTCACTCACTCACTCACTCTCACTCACTCACTCACTCACTCACTCACTCACTCACTCACTCACTCACTCACTCACTCACTCACTCACTCACTCACTCACTCACTCACTCACTCACTCACTCACTCACTCACTCACTCACTCACTCACTCACTCACTCACTCACTCACTCACTCACTCACTCACTCACTCACTCACTCACTCACTCACTCACTCACTCACTCACTCACTCACTCACTCACTCACTCACTCACTCACTCACTCACTCACTCACTCACTCACTCACACACGCACAGAGTTGGAAGCTTGTACCTGAGATTAGTCAGTTTTGTCCGAGGCTTTGGCATGTGCACCGAGCCGACTGCCGCAGGGTGGACTCTCATGAGGAAAAAGGGCTTTGCGGCTTAGGGGTTGTCTAGGCCCAGGCTCCTTCACCTTCATTGGTAGCGCGGTTGGGGGCATTCCCGTGCCGCAGCGCCCCCGCAGCTGCGGTCATGGATTTGCATGGGGATGAGGACCTCTACAACTTTGCAGGTCATGGTGATGGTGGCGCGGAAGAAGCGAACTCAGACGAGGAGTTCCATGACGAGCTCGGAAACATGGACTTCCACCCGGGCTCCGACTTCGAGAGGCAAGGTCTCGTCCTCCTCGAGATCTTCAATGGCTTTCGCGCCTTCCCAGGATGAGTTAGACAGCATGTGGCTCACCCAGACCAGCGAGCAGCTTCCCTCAAAGATTCCCAGCACAGACACGTACCCTACGTGGTGTGTGGCAAGGCGACCTTGCTCGTCATGTTCGTGGATGTGACTCTGGCGGTTCCGGGACCCGCTAGAGGTGTCTGCGTTGCTCAGGAGGACAGGTCTTGGCGCTGTACCATCAGGAACGACGCGACGCTCCGGCGCCTGAACGAGCAGCACGTCAACAAGCGCCACAACCATCCGAGCATCAAGCGCTTCTTCTGCGGCATGGTCGCGGGGATGCTTGCTAAAGTGGTGGTTGGGATGGCAGAATGGCAACCGACGTTCCGTCTTGAAGCAGGAGCTTCTGGCAGAGCATTCCGAATGCGGGCCAATCATCAATCAAGATTGACTTTCGTGCGGTGAAGTTGGGCGACGCAGCGCCCGCAGCAGGTCAACCCGTGCTCTACAATCTTGTCCGCCGCGCTAAATTCAATGCCTCGCGGGGTGGAGCTTCTTTGTGGTTGGGCTGCTCCTGATGCTGGTTTTAGATGGCTTCACTGAAGTTGTTGGTGTTCTTTTTCAGTGTTCTGGGGCCTGAGCCTGGAATCGTGATGGTGTGCTCGGAAAGGTGTACCTGCAGCAGGATCGTTGATGAGGTCTGCCGTCGCAAAGACTGCCTTCGAGCCGGATGGCTGTTGGCAAGCTCGTGATTGGAACCGGTGAGGGGGGATGCTGCTAGGCAGGGCAGCCAGAAGTGGTGGCTTTGTTTTTCGCAAAGTAGTCGAGGAATGCAGGGCCTTTAGCTGGATGAGATGCAGCTTCTCCGTGTTCAGAACCCAGTGACAATCGTGCTGGTTCTCACATCTTCTGTCTCTGGCTGCACTTTTGTGTGGCCACGTTGATGCAATCCGCAACGGTGTCCCTCAGATCGGCCGCAGGCTGACTGCCAAGTCGTAGAGCATGCCCGCCGTCGCATTGTCCACCAGGTTGAAGGTGAATCAACAGAGCTCCCGAGCGTCGAGCCATTGGGGTGGCTGGGTGTAGCGGTCCCGCTGATTTGGCCGCAGGCTGACTGCGAGAATTCTACCAGGTTGATGGAGCGTCGAAGCCATTGGGGTGGTTGGGGCTTCAGGAGCTTTGGCCGGGCGCAGGATGACACGAAGTGAGCCTGGTCTTGGGTCGGGCCATCATTTGATGCAAAGACGAAATCCTTTGTCTCTCAAAAGCTCCCCAAGTGAAGCTACTTTCCACCGCTGTCCACTTGGATGTCAAGCCTGGCAAGCCAGGCACGAATCGGCGCGATAGCCGCTGCTGTCAGTTTGCTTCAGAAGTCCAGAGACGACGCCACGACCGAGGACCTTCTATGGTCTGCTTGTGGCGGAGGCGGCCGTCCAGAGGACTACGCCAATTTCAGAGAGAGGGTGTGTGTCTAGCAGGCGCCTCTTCAGCGCCATCCCAAAGACTGGCAACCAGCTTTGCAGAGGAGAGGGTGGAGATCGATGATGCTGGCCTGAGGCAATCGTGTCGGGCGTTGCGGTGGGTGCCCACGGAGTACATGTTGGCGGCGTCTTCACAAAGCAGAACTCCAAGCTTCGAGACGATTTCCGGCGCTGGCTTTTGAAGCCCTGCTGAGCCTGGTGAAAAGCCGTGCTGGAGATCAAGAAGAAGTTTAACCAGTGAGTCAGTTTTGTGTGCGGCTCTGGCATGAGCACCGAGCCGACTGCCGCAGGGTGGGCTCAGTGGGCTCTCATGAAAAAAAGGGCTGTCCGGCTGGATGTTAGGTCCAGGCTCCTCCACCTTCAAACTCCGGGATTTTTCTTTCAAGGTATTGAGTGGTTGAAGGGAAACCTGCTTGTGGGATACTGCCCATGAGCCTCATGAGCTGGAATGCATTGTCGGGAAGGAATGTTGAGTGCATGGGGGCTAAGTTTGTAGGAACCTGGACTCCCCGAATGGGATTCTGGTGCGGGCCTTTCTGCATTTTTTGTGCGAGGGTTCCTTGTGGCGGGCGGGTTTCAAGTGGGAGCCGCTCGCTTGCGAGGTCGGATGGTACACTGACATGCGGCCAGAGGACATCAAAGAGGCAGCCGAATTTCCAGAACTGGTCTACGATGGACGGAACATGTTATGAGAACCATTTTGGTTGACCTTGAACCTCCAACTGTTTTTGGGAAAAGGGTTCTAATTCACCAATAGCAAAACACAGTTTGCCACTTGGCCACTCAAGTTGTTTGGCCTGAGTGCAAGCCGATTTCCCAAGGGCCTTCCAATGGAGAATCCAACTTGGACCCTTCAAGACCCTTGACACTTGTTTTACGACCTCCACCAGCTTTTCGGGCCTCAGGGTCGCTTGCGATCAATAAGCGCAGACGAAGCACAGACAAAGCGCCGAGGATGTTAGAGGGACTGTTTCGAGTTTGCGGAGGAGAGGGCTCACCCAAATCTCCCATAGAGTTTTTCCAGAGGCGAATTGTCGTGACTGGTAGATTTCTTTTTGGGGTGGCGCTCTCAGAAACATGGTCGTTTACCTTGGAGTGCTATGCGGGCATTCCAAGCATGACTGCAGACGTGGCAAAGTGGGCCGAACTTTACATATTTCTGCGTAGGTAGTGACGCTGGACCGGTAGACAACCCCAGGCGATGGGACACAAATTGGTGCGGCAAGATGCCCCTGTTGATTCTTTGCAATGGATTTGTGGACTGAACGTGAAACTCTTCCTTAACCACCAAACCACCAATGCAAAGCTGAAAAGGGTTCCCCCCCGCCACTTCAGGAATTGATATCCTACTTGTAGACAAACACTTGTGTTTGTTCAATTGATTCTCCAAGAAGGTTGCTGAGAACCATCATAGGCCTGACCTCAAAGTCAAAAAGAGCCCCCCCCGTCCAGGTGGTTTCCCAAAAAACCAAGCACTCCAAACTGCGAGGTTTTTATTCTCACTTGGGCTTGAAAGAGGGAGGACTGCAGCTCAGGAAGTGTTTGGTAGACTCATGAACGCCGAGTGTTGAAGACTCAGTCTGAGAGACCAGGGGGAGGTCAATCGATACCAGCGGAGGCGATTCTGTGCGCCTGCGACGCCATCATGGATGGAGGCGGGTTTGCGGTGCATTCCCTGTGCGTGGGTGTGCTTTTGACGGGGCCTTTTGAAAGTTTGGTTAGGAAATCAACAGGAAAACCGAAATCCATTCACTTGCCTGTGGCACTGGGCGAAATCCATTTCGCACCACCTAAGAACCTCTGGAATGATGATTCCCTGACGTAAATGCCAACAAGCGTTATGGTTTCAACCAACCGTGGTTTGATTTCGTGTTGCAAGAAGCGGATTTCGCAACCATCCACAGTATCTCGGCCTTCCTTGGCAAATTCTGTCCTATCAAAGAGTGCAATATGTTGACTGCGAAACCTGTGCGGAGCTCACTCCGATGCGTGTTTTTGTATCCCGAAGGTCCGGAGTGAGGTCGCTTTTCCCCTTTGAGCTAGTTGAAGTATGGGTTTTGTCAAGCTCCTTTTGGTTTCCTTACAAGCAGCCACCAAAAGGGACTCTCAAAAACAGGCTCATATCATCTTTCAACAGTTGAACATGGCTTGTTGGTTCCAATTCTGGGCGAGTTTCCTTCGGTCGGGCGATGTTACTTGGAACACTCGGCCGCAAGTTCCAAAGACCCCAGCACCCCTTTCAGTTCCAGCATCCTTCAATGCTGCCCTTTTGGTTTAGTTTATTTGTCGAGCTTCCCCTCTTAGTGGAGTATAGTCTGGCCAGATTGGGAATTTGGCCACCGCTTGAGACCAATCTGTGGCAGGCAGGACCTTCTGTCTAAGGCTTAAGCGGGAGAGGGGTGTGGCGTTGGAGAACTTGCCTCCGTTGCTTCGGGCGCTTCGTTTCTTGCTGGTGCTCAGCGTCGGAATGGCCCCGATCAAAATCATGTCTTGTCGTTTTCTCTCAGGGTATTTCTGGGTTCGTTCCTACATTCCCTACCGCACCAGCAAGTTTTTCCGGTGATCCAAGGGGTCTTTGCGGCGTGGCGCGCCTTTCTTTGGGCCTAGCACCAGGCTTTGTCCTGCGCGAGGTCCAGTTTGCTGGCGCGGGCCTCGCCTTTTTTTTTTCCTGACGGCGATGGAGGGCTCCAGAGCTAAGGCATGGCCGAGTCCCCGGACTACCAACCCATTCTCAACAAAACGGCGCGGCTTCCCCCAATTCAGTCTGCTGGGCTCATCGGGCTCAACGCGGAAGGGGTTAGATGCTTCAGATGTGGGCCAAAGAGTAAAGTGGGCGCGGCTCAAACTCAAAAGCCAGGGTTACGCAGGTTTTAGTCTTTGGTTCCACCTGCCAAGGTGCCAAAATGCCGATCAAACCACGGTTGGAATGGGCGGCTTGACGTGCCGTGTGTGTGTGTGTGTGTGTGTGTGCGCGCGGCATGGTTGGACTCCTGATCCGACCCCAAACCGCTCAAAGTGCAGTGGGCAGCTCTACCGCGACGATAAGGGCTCACGGCTCAGCGCTTGTTCCCACCTGCAAAGCAAACACATACGTCAAACAAAAGCCAAACCTGAATATGGTGGCCACCCCAGAACATGTTGAAAGTTCTTGCAAAGCGGGTCTCTCGAAATTGAAGCTGGGCATCGGTTCTGCGCAAGGTCGTTTTGGGCATGACTTTCAGTTGGGGACCCTTGGGTGCAGATCATTTAGCTGGGGATGTGTGTCCAACCACCATTTTTGAGGGTGTTGCTGGGTGTGTTTTAGAAGAGGGGATCCCAAAGTTTGTTGTTTCTAATTCTCGGTCAATTCACCCCAAAAAGGGTACCAGGCCTTGCTGTTTCTCTTTTGGCTAAGGCTGTTTCTACGTTGACCAACCTCAAGATGTATGTGTTTTACCCAGGTGAGCCTACCGAGGTAAACCTCGGATGGATTCCTCCTACCACTGGTAGGTGGTTCATCCCACTGCAGGGTTTGGTCCATCCACATTATGCCAAGCAAGGATTTGCAAAACGGCCAATCCATCTGGTTCCAAAGTTTATGCCTGATAAGGGCTCCGAGGTGCATACGTTTATGGCAAGGGGCTTCAGCACTTCAATCCCCGAACCCCATCAAAGTATGGAGGTTTCCTCAAACAGCACACCCGTACGGCAAAAGGAAGAATGAGCAAGAATGGGTTGATCTTACAAGGAAACCCAGCAAGGTGGGTGGTCCGTTTGCCAAATTGCGCAACATCAGCGTAGGCTCTAGGGTGGATTGCGGCAGCTTTCATGCCACCTGGGCTTCTTTAACTCTGGAGTCAGGTTCGAGCAAGGTTCCGAGGTTCCGGGGTGCTGGTGCAGGCCAGGTGTAAGTAAGGTTCAAGGAAGGTTCCGGAAGTTTCGGGGTGGTCTGGTGCAGGCCAGGTGTATGGT